ACCCACCCACCCATTCGCCCCGTGCAAGCACGCCCGCACTCACGCGTGTGCGCGCAAACAAGCACACACACACACACAACAGTACACACGCACACACAAACGCAAAGCAGTCCCCCATGGCATGCGACACAGAGCATGGTCCCTGAACGGGAAACTCTATGACGTTTCCGTCATCTTTGAACCCGGGCAGTTGGTCAAAATACATCGACACAAATTTGTTTTCAATGATGTCTTTCGACTCAAGAAGTGTCTGACACCTCCTCCCTTGGCCGGCGCCCTGTAGACAACCGGTGGCTCAGGGGGGCAAAGGACCGCCCTCGGCTTTCTGGGAGCCCCGGGCATCAAATGAGAAGCCTGGACGGAGATATGCCGGAATCAAACAGCAGTGCCGGTTCACTCCAATTCACATCTGGGTGAATTATGATATTTCACCAGCCTAAACTAAGGTGGTTGGAGGGATATTCCCCACATAAACGACAAAATTTAGAGTGAGGTCGTGTGAGGTCGTTATAATTCACCCAGATTAACATGGAACCTGACGTTCGGGGGGTGCTGGAAGATCAGATGCTCTCCATTTAAAAGGGTCCCCCTGTCAGGTTCCATCTTGATTGGTGGGGTATCTTATCTGTCAGCCCCATGCGGCAGGCTCAGCGACTCGGGGCTGTGAGCCTTATTGAAAACAAGTCTACAACTCACTTGCCCATAAAAGGTTAACCTTTTGGGACCGCTACTAAAAATAGACCAAAAAGGGAAAACCAAAAGGTCAAAAGGTCGATTCGCTTTGAACAACTGAGACAAATAAAGTTAAGCAACAAAACCAACAGCCCCTCCTTGGGACTCTCACGCAACTGTACTCCCAATACTGCCCGGCACGCATGTGGCCCCACAGGTTCCGAAAGTCTTGTGGTCATCATCGTCAGGCCTTGTCTATGAGCTTGGTGCTTTTGGGGCACAAGGACTTGAACAAGATCTGCTTGTTCTTGCTCTTGTACCTTGCATCCAGCCGACAAACATAAGGTCTTGGTGAGACCTGCCGCGAATGCCGCCACAACTGACCTACAGCCATAGGTGTCCTTTTAGGGGAAATAGATGGCCCTGGTAGATGATTAAACCACCAGGTAAACCCCGGGCCACCTATTTGTCTACCAAAACAACCAAAAAGGACACCTATGCCAACAGCAACCGACCTTCATGTTGCCCTTTGAGGAGCTTGACTCGTGACAAAGCTCCCTCGAAAGTCCGCCTTCAAACTCCTGCCATGTGCCATATGCCATGTGTGCCTGCACCCATGTATGAAACGCAAGTTTCCCTGACTCGGCATGGCGAATGAGTGAGTCATACCAAAGGGTTCATACCAACCACACCAGGGCCTCCCAGAAAAGAAACATTTCAATCAGTGCCACGTCCTTAAAAAGCTGAATGTGTGAATCATAGGTGTGTCCTTAGGTGTCCTTTTTGGAAAATAGATGGCCCTGGTAGGTGATTGAACCACCAGGTAAACCAGGACCTTAAAAAAAAGCAAGACAACCAAAAAGGACACCTATGGCTGTGCCCATAGGCTGCGTGGGGTTGGGGTTGGCCCGCGCCCACATTCGAAGGAAGCGAGGCTTTGGGTCGGCACTGCAAGCTGCACGGCAAGTGCCAATGGAAAACGCACGCAAGATGTGGATGTGTGTGTGTGTCTATGTTCCCTGACGGGCTTCACTTCAGAAACCAAAGACTTGGCTACAAGGGTGTTGCATCTGGTCAATCAGTCATTTCTACAAGCTGGCCGGCCGGGTGCGCAAAAAAAACCCTGGCCATGAAGCCAACTATGCTGAGCTGAGCTTCTCTGTGCTGAGCTTGTTCATGGCCTGCGCAGCCGTGCAGGCCATAGCCCAAGGAAAATGACCCCGACATATTGCGTCCTCGTTCTTTTGGCATGCCCGAAAGGGGCAATTTTACGAACACCAACCACATGAATCGCAAGGCCGAGCAAACTTCAAACGGCAGGATAGTTGGCCAGGCATTGCTTCGAATGCCGATCATGTAGCCAGAGCAATTCTGAACGTGCTGCGTACATCGCGAGACCTGAAATAGGTCGAAACCGAAAAAGATGCGATGCAAACTCTTCAGCTTCCTTTGGCTTCCCTGAGGGCAAGGGCCAAGCAATTTGCGATACCCGAAACATGGCCAAGGCAAGTCGCCACATGTAGCACCCCGGAATCCAGCTACAGGTGGGCTCCCCCAATGAGTTCCATGGCGAGATGGCAGCTACACCACGAGGCAAATCGGGGGCTATCTCTGCCTGAAGTGCTGGTTGCAGTGGGTCCAAGCCTGCTGAAGGAAATCAGGCAAGAAACATGTGCCCTTGCAATCCTTGCCCAAACTTGCTTATCAACTGGGATGTCAGCATGCATAAAAGGTGCTGAATCTTATGATACTTATGATGGTCAAAGATTGTTGCAAATTTGGAAGCTTCATTCTGGGTGAAACGCGGCAAACCGGGCCGGTACAAAGCAGTACCATGAGTCCTTAGTTTTGAACAGCATGGCAAATCTAAAGTCCAGGAACTCAGGAAGCGAGCGCTGATTTCTGCCAGAAAGTTCGGGCAACCAAAGAGATCATAGGTGTCCTCTTGGGAAAAAATAGTTGGCCCTGGTAGATGATTTTCACCACCAGGTTTTTTCCACAAATCGCTTGCTACTTTTCAAATGGCAAAACCACCAAACAGGACACCTATAGAGATCCGGATCTCTGAAGCGATTCATTTTGGGGCCGCAGGCCGCCTGCATGGCCGAGTAGTCGAAGAGAGAGGTGGCCTCAGAGAAGACCACCTCCACCTGCTCCGGATCCGTGTCCGCGTTGAGCATCTTCCTGGGAGAGAAAAAGGGAAACACATAGGCGTCCTTTCAGGCGAACTAGATGGGTTTCCCTGGTAGATGAGAAAACACCACCGGGCGTTTTCCGAGGAAACCCATCTATGTTTCGACCAAAGCAGCCAAAAAAGGACACCCATGGGGAAAATGAAATCCATACGCCGGCCTAAGAGGGGCTGGGGGAGTCTAGGGCCTGACCCCGGACTGATGTGGACACCTGTTGCTTGGATATGGGGGTGCGGATTCCTCCAAAGTGGCCTGAATCCCCAAGACCAGGGACGCCCCTATTCAACTGGGGTCAACATTGATCCGGGGTTGCCAGGAAGCCGACAAAAAAAGAAGGCTTTTGAGTCCGGGGCTGCTGAAAAACGTGGGAGGGGGAATGTAGAAAGGCAAGCCCCACCACCGGAAGTAGCTGTAAGTAGCTTCAGAAGACAGGTGCTGGCGTCGACCCCCGTCCCGCAGAGCATAAAGAAAGCAAAGCCCAGCAGCCGAGGACACCAATAATATCCAACAAAGCGTGCTGGAAAGAAGGAGATCGTCTATCATGAGGCAACATAGCGCAAAGTGTCTAAGTGAAGGTCAATTGCATACCCCTTGAGTAGGACCTCGATTCAGTCAATTGCTATCGCAGTCTTGGCCATGGATCCGTCCCATTTTTTTCAACCGCGTGACATGGCGTTCCACCTGGCTAAGCTCTCTTGGCTACATTGCGCCTGCTTTGTCAGTCTGCCAATGTTGATTTGTGGCTGGGTGCGGTGCTTCAAATGGAAGAGTCAAGCGGGGAGGGCGCGGATCTGATTGGCCAGAAGTGAGGGCACAAAAGATTACTTGGAGAGTTGCCCACCCTAGCAAATTGGCTCATGGCTACCTGAACGGGTAGCTTGGCTGGATTGTTGCGGTTTGGAGGCATGGGTTCTCTGACAGGTTGCAATGCAAATATGAGGGGAATTGCTTACAACAGCTTGACAGTTGCAAAGGCCCTTTCATCACGCCCCTTCCATTTGAAGTGCTACTAGTGGGACACTCAGCGTGGGTCCCAACAAGCGCGCTGGAAATCTATTCGCCGCGCAGCAGGAAGCGGTTGGCGGAGGTGAAGAAGAAGGGGCCGTGGATGAAGTACGTCTTCCTCAGGTTGGGGCAAATGTGTTGAACAAGCCACCGGCTTCCTTAAAAAAGGTGACAAGGGGACACCAAGATTTGGTACAGCAATGGTGGCCAAGGGCATCTGAGAGTGCCTTAGATGCCCATCGAGGCCTCGCACAGGCCTCACGGAATCCCTCACTGCCAGCCTTTCCGCGGTCGAGCTGCATGCCGTCCTTCTCGCTAATGATGACCTCGAACCTCGGGGAGGCCACGCTCGCTGTAGGGTGGAGTTTGGTCCCGACGGCAGGAAGGAGTTGCCCACAGGTTAGGCGGCTAAAAAGGAGCCGCGTTTCCTTGGGCATGTTCTCCTGGCTAACTCGGGGATCTGCACCCTGAAAACGACAGGGCACACACACAGACGTGCTGGAGAGGAGAACAAGTGCAACTGGGCCTGATTAGTGACAAAGTTGCGGCACGCCCCGACCGATAACTCCACATCATTGCGGCACACCTTTGCTTGAAGCAGGCTTAAGCAGGGCGTGCGATAGCAGCCCATAGCATGTTTCATCAGTTTCTGCCTTTGTTGGGGGGTGTAGAAAGGCAAGATGCTCAGGGTCTGGGCGCAATCGGAAACTAAGCAGACTTGAACTGCTTGCACTGCCGGTCCTGAAGCACTCAGCCTCAAGGGGCTGTTGCAAACAAAGGGCAGCATGGGAGAAGTCAACTCAAGGGTATAAATACAGCAGAGCAAACAAATCAGCCGCCACGCTTTTGCTTCTTGTGTTGTGAACAAAGCACATGCCGAAGCATCCAGCCTGCAGGGTTTGTCCGCAGTCTAGAAGCCACGTTTCCGCCCAGCACACGTGTTTTTCCCCTTTTTTTACCAAGGCTGGGCTTCAATTAAGCGACCCTGTCACAGGAGCCCTATTCATGCCATCCGGCTGCAGTCAGCAAAAAAAATAAGCTTGGCCGCCTGCTCGCCTAATTCAAAGGCGCATCTGTTTTATGGACTCCCCCCCCCTCTCCCTCAGAGAACAAACGGATGCTGCCCTAGCCTTAAGGACATCCCTGCACTGGCCCACCAGCACACATTTGCAGGCCACGCAGCGTGTCGGCAGAGTTCCAGGCATAAGACATGGAGCAAATGGCCACCCCCACGCCCACGGCAATGGCGATGTTGGTGCCTGGCGTCTGTGACATAGGTGTCCTTTTAGGGGAAATAGATGGCCCTGGTAGATGATTAAACCACCAGGTGTTTTCCGGGGCCATCTATTTTTCTACCAAAACAACCAAAAAGGACACCTATGGTCTGTGATTGTCCCATCTGCTTTGAGCAAGTGGCAACCACATGACAGTCTGACTACCTCCGACCCAGACAAAACGCATGGCGTGCCTGCCGGCCACTTGCACAAAATGGTCACCACAATGATGACAATGGCATCGACCCGTGGCACCTGGCAAGACAGCTTGACGGGCTCAAGTCCCACGATATTGGCGAGGATAACTAGCATCACTTGATCCATGCTCTGCAACACCTGGTCGAAATTGAGAACTTGCCAATTCCTTGACCCATAATCACAGGAGACCCCTTGTGTAGCCCAGGCAATTAGGGATGGCCTTTGAACCGGCCAAACAGTGTGATTGAACATGTTCAATTCAACGGAATCGCGCGGCGCTAGGCTGCCAATTGTGTAGCTTCCTCCTCTTTACACCCGCCATACAGCGCCCAAAAAACTGTTGCTCATGGGATCTTGCCTTGGCACACGCTGCGGCTCAGCTAGCTTTCAAGGTTTTACCCAGGGCTAGCTTCAGCTTCAACATGAGTGAAGGACGGCTTTTCGCCACTTTCCAGGTGGACCAAGCTGACAGCAAGCCGGAATTTGGGCACGAGTTCAACAACTTCACGTTAGCAGTCAGTGTCGGTGATTTTGCAGTCTTCGAGCTCGTGTTTTGCCAAGGAGGGAACAGATTGGCATTTTGTTTCTGGGTGGTTTGAGGCTTCAGGTAGTCTTTAACGCCCCTACCATCCAATGCCTTGCGCTGCAGGCTCAGCTTCTCCCGAAGGAACTTGGGAAGGAGGGCCGCCAAAACCATTGGGATGGTGAACCACCTTCGCCGGATTCCGATTCCCGCAGCCGCACTCGGGCCCTGGAATCTGGAAAGAAGGTACGCAAATCATATCATGGTCCAAGATGTCTGGCATGTGATATGCCTGAGTTAGCATGTTCGTACATGTATGTATGCATCAGTATGCCTTTACAGCCATCTTCTATCGGTACCTGAGGCCGTGCTCTCTTTTGCTTGGCTCCGCACACCCAAAATACAGCAAGCCAGGCCACTTGAAGGTGTGCAGCACCACTACAAGCATGATTCCCGCCAGCGCCGCCACGGGGATGAAGTTGAGAAGGGGGTAAGCGCCTTGGCTGGCCGAGTCGCCGGTGCTGGACGTCCTGACAGGTCCTTCAAGCTCCCTTCAAGTTCATCCGAGGTGGATCCTCAAGATCTGATGAATAGCAGCCATAGCCGCAGGGACGACTACCTACTGCGCGAAATGGCGCCGAAGCCAAATCCACATGCAATGCTCACTTGGTGTGCATTAAACTCCTTGAAGGACTACCCTCCCCCCAAACAGCGGGACAAGACATATCCTGCTCCCCATCGCCCAAATCCCCTGACCCCTCTCCACAGAACCAACGTCTTCATTCTCCTCCTGGCTTGGACTGGGTCCGCTTCGGCCTCTTGTCGCGCTGAGTGGCCTTTGAAGCGAACACCTCCCAACGAGTCTTTCAGGTGTTTAATGAGGGAACTTGATTCATTAATTGGAATATATATATATATATGTATACAGTATACATAATAATATATATATGTACCAGTCCTGGGCCACGTCCCCCCCCCCCCCCCCCCCAATGGTATGGTCCCCCCACTCCCCCGCATCATCCGCATCTTGGGGATGATGCTGGCAATGCTGGGGATGCTGTCCAGTACCGTGTGAGCCCTGCAGCTTCGGTCCCAGACTCCCCCTTTCACCCCGTGAACCAACACCCCCGCACCTCTCGCAACATCCTACCCTAAACCAAACCACCCTGCAACCCCTCCTTAACCCCAACCCTAAGCCTAAATCAACCCAAACCCCAAACCCACCCGAAACCCACCGCAAACCAACCCTGAACCAACCCTGAACCAACCCTAAACCAACCCACCAACCCTAAACCAACCCACCAAGCCTAAACCAACTCCGAACCACACCCCAACCACCCAACCACCCAACCACCCCACCACCCCACCACCCCACCCCCCCCCCACCCCCACAGGGGGGGGGGGGGGGGTCCACGGCCTGGAACATATATATATATATAAAAGAAGGTGTCTTTCACCAAAGGCAATTGTTTAGTCATGTTCCGGCATTGACCACCTCCGCGGTCGCTTGGCGCCCCTCCTTCTTTTTGCTTCCGCCCGGGCCCCGGGGCCCCGGGCCCATGACGCAGGCCATGATCCCCACAGCGGTGACGCAGGGCCCCAGCCGGCCCTTGCCGCCGTTGAGGCAGTTCACCGTGGAGAGGCCGATCATGGCGTTGCCTGGCGCGCGTAGGCAACGAGCGCCCTCTTAACATCCAAGGTCGGCAAGTTTCTTGACAACTTTTTTCTGGGGGGGAGGTACCACTTTCGAAGCTTCACAACTTGCGACGTGGCTGAACATGCTCCCTGGCAAGAAGCAGCTTTGTTGCAGTAGGCCATGGATTAGCACTTGATTGTGTGCTTCCTTGAAGAAAGTGCCCCATTCCTAAGCAGTGCGCAGAATCCTTGCGCCCTGGTGGAGTTGGAATGGGGGAGGCTCACGGTGAGCCCAGGTCGTTGTGTTGGGTCGGTTTGGGCTTGGTTCGCGGGCGTCTTGCCCGGCGAACTGGCACAAAGCGTCAAGGGAACCAAAACACCAACTGACGCCCTCCCCGGCATGGCCCTCAACCCCCCTGGCATCCCGCGCAAGCCCCCTCAAGCTCAAACCACGGGTCAACCACGGGTTTCCTCCAATTTCTCCTTCCCGTCACCACGAAACTCGCCTAGCCCAAAACGGCGATTCTCAAAAACCCCCTTCAACCCAGAGCCCCAGCCCGCACCCCGCAGGCCCGGCAGGCCCAACAAAGGCCGCGCGCCTCCCATGCCGCCCAGGAACCCGGAGATCACGTTGCCCACGCCCATGGCCAGCACCGTGCGATCCCCGTCCCCGGGCTCCTTGGTGAAGGACTCCACCACCTCACAACCGCCGGCGCCAGTCACGCGACGCGTCGCCCCCCGTGACGCCAGGCGTATCGCGACGCGTCGCCTTTAGAGGCGTCGTTTGCGGGAAGGACGCGTCAGCTTGTGTCTCCATGAGCGACAACTCCGTGGAACCCAAGCACATCACAGCATGGACCACAGCGCGTTGCTTGATGAAACCCACGTGTTTCAGGCAGCCCGTACGGCCTTTTCGACGTCTCACAAGGCAGAGAATCATTGCCATAGGTGCCCTTTTGGTAAAATAGATGGGTTTCCCTGGCAAAATGGAATGAAACCCACTTGAACTAGTGGAACCTGTCTATTTTCTAATCAAACGGACTAGAGGGACACCTCTGATCCTTTCCCTACCTTCCCTGGCAGTACCTCCCCAAAAGGCGCAAGCCTCTGCAGTCATCAGAGACTCGATGGAGCCCACGAGGCAAAGGAAAATGCCCTGGCGCGGAAAAAGCCGAGAAACCGCCGATCCAGCCGAAGTGACTTGGTTGTTTTTGTTTGTTTCCTCTCCTCTTTCCTTTTTCTTTTGGGGGGGGTGCGGTTGTTCAACTGAGGACCCAAGGAAAATTATTAGAAAAAAAACATGGGCACCTGTTGACCAGCCTCAAACGGTCTTGCGGATTCCACTGTATTGGTGGAAGCCCTAAGCTGCTCTTGCCACCTCACGGATGTCTCAGGTTCTCGGAAGGGCTTCTCGCTATGAAAAGGGGGGGGAGGGGGGGACACCCCTGCCTTCACTACTAATGCGGATAAACCCCCTGTTTATTAGTATGGGGGTGTCCCTGATTTTCGTGGGGATCTATCACTTTTGGGGGGGGAGACACGCATATCAATAAACAGGGGTTTATTCATCTGGGGTCGACATTATCCTCCTCGGATAGATGTGTCGAGTCCTGGACAATGATCTGGCTGATGCCGCTGCCAGTGAGGATGTTCCCTAGCTCATAGCTGACGGCGTCCTTGCACAAACATGCGCAACAGACGAAATTGCAACCTGCAAGCCCCTGCCCCTATTACCAGTAGAGCCGGCGAAGCCGGTGGGCGGAAGTTTCAAAAATATAAAAACTATAGTTCTCTTTCTCTTTCTTTTCTTGACTCTTTTTCTCTGTCATTCTTCCTTTCTTCCTTTCTTTCCTTCCTTCCTCCCTTCTTTCCTTCTTTCTATCTGTCTTTTCTTTCTTTCTTTCTTTCTTTCTTTCTTTCTTTCGTTTGCTTGTCTATCTATCTTTCTCTACCTATCTATACCTAACTACCTGTCTATCTATCTCTCGTGTTATCTATCTATCTTCTCTATCTATCTCTCTATCTCTCTATCTATATATCTACCTATCTCTCTATCTATCCATCTCTCTATATCCCTCTACCTCTGTCTCTCTCTCTTTCTCTCCCTCTTTCTTTCTATCTTTCTATCTCTCTATCTCTCTTTCTTTCTATCTATTTATCTCTCTATCTCTTTCTCTATCTCTTTCTATCTATCTATCTATCCATCTATCTCTCCATCTATCTCCCGCGTATCTATATATCTATCTATGTATCTGTCTATCTCTCGATCTATCTATCTCTATATCTCTCTGTCTACCTATCTATCCATCTCTCTCTCTCTATCTGTCTATCTCTCTATCTGTCTATCTATCTCTCTATCTCATTATCTCACGTGTATTTATCCATCTCTCTATCTCTCTATCTATCTATCCATCTGTATTTCTACAATCCATCTCTCTATCTACCTCTCTCTCTACCTATCTATCTATCTATCTATCGATCTACCTCTCTATCTATTTATCTATCTATCTATCCATGAAATTATCTATCTATCTACCTATCTATGTATCTCTCTCTATCTCTGTTTCTATCTGTTTATCTATCTCTCTATCTATCTATCTATCTATCTGTCTATCTATCTATCTGTCTGTCTATCGTTTATCTATCTGTTTATGTATCTCTCTATCTATTTATCTACCTATCTATCTATCTCTTTTTCTGTCTATGTATATATCTCTCTATCTCTTTTTCTATCTATCTATCTATCTATCTCTCTCTATCTCTCTCTCTATCTATGTATCTCTCTATCTCTTTATCTCTCTCCCTCTGTCTATTTATCTATCTATCTTGCTCTTTCTCTCTCTCTCTCTCTATCTATCTATCTATCTCTTTCTCTATCTCTTTCTATCTTGACTTCGCGTACTACTTTCGTACTTCAAAGTTGCGATTTTCGAGCCCCACTGCGAAAGTGGACTTCACGTACTACTTTCGTACTTAAAAATTGCGATTTTCAATCCCCAGCTGCAAAAGTGGACTTCACGTACTACTTTCGTACTTAAAAGTTGCGATTTTCAAGCCCCAGCTACGAAAGTGGGCTTCGCGTTCTACTTTCGTACTTAAAAGTTGCGATTTTCAAGCCCGGCTGCGAAAGTGGACTTCGCGCACTACTTTCGTACTTAAAAGTTGCGATTTTCAAGCTCCAGCTGCGAGAGTTGACTTCGCTTACTACTTTCGCACTTAAAAGTTGCGATTTTCGAGCCCCGGCTGCGAAAGTGGACCTTGCAAAAGTGCTGCGCCTGCCACGAAATCTGTACTTGACCTCGCGAAAGTGCCGCGCCTGTCACGAAATCCGTACTTGACCTTGCGAAAGTGATGCGCCTGCCACGAATTTTGCACTTGACCTTGCGAAAGTGCTGCACCTGCCACGCATTCTGTACTTGACCTTGCGAAAGTGATGCCCCTGCTACGAAATCTGTTCCTGACCTCGCGAAAATGCTGCCCCTGCCACGAAATCTGCATGCGCCGCCTTGCGCGCCCGTGCCAATGGAAAAATGCAGCGACTGTCAGCAGAGCTACCTTTCAATTAGTTTCCGTAACTCGGAAGTTTCCTTCTAAACTTCCTTTGAATATAAATCCCAAAGGGTCCAAGTACCTCCTGAAGATTGCTTTTCGGGTGTAAAAGGGGGTCTAAGTACCTCCTTAGAAGGTACTTGGACCCTCTGGGTATGAACATATTTCCCCGCAAGCAATGGATTGCACCAGGCGAGTCCGCTGAAACTTATCCCAGCCATGTGACTGTTGATGTCACAGGAGATGACCCAAAGCTGCCTTCCGACCGCCGGAGTCTCAACTTGGGTCCGTCCCTGTTAGCCCGTTAGCCCGGCCGCACCAAGAGCAAACACGAGTATGGGGAAAACGGCAGAAAGAACCAGTGCCACAAGCGCACATACATACGAACAAAAACCCAAGCAGGTGTGCAGTTGCTCAGTTTGCATCAGGGACAAGAACGATCAAAACGCACTGCTTCGACATCGCTGAGCCCGTTCCCTGCTCGACCAAGCATCTGTGGAGACGAAGAAGGGGATGGGGAATGCCTTATGCCGGAGTCGTCGAGTCAACAGCCGTCCACAAAATACAACATGCCAGCCACTTGGACATGGGTCAAAATCCCGTACCCCAGTGAACATCCCTATCACCACTAAAATAGGCTCTAAAATGGGTGGTGCACCTACCCCAAAATGGTACCATTGGTGTTGACGCACAGCCACAGCCCGTCAAGGGGGAGGAGTTCGACCACCCCAGCCATCAGCTGAGGAAGACCGAACAAGTCGTCTTCTCCAAGCGCTCTTGCCAACAATTCTTGTGGACCCCCACGTAGCTCAAAAGGGTGTGGGTCAAAAATAAACCACCAGGGGACCGCAGGTTGTTTCCATTTACCAGGGTTCCATTTTGGGTACATATTTTTGACCCACAGCCAAAACTCAATGGGCAAGTCCTTGGAGGCATGCTTGGGGTTTCCGCAAGACACGTTCTCAATGATGCAGGCTTGTCGCCGTTTCCACGGTGAACTCGCTCACATCCCGGATGGTGTCCTTTGCGAAACCGGCGTTCCAACTGGCTCGAGCTGGTTGAACCCTGCGACTGAGATGCGCGTGTGAATGCATGTAGATTCTAGAATAGTCATATACATGTACAGGTATCTCAGGGACGTCCACACTTTCGCGTGCGACATGCCAGCTGCCTCAACCCAAGATGGCCTGACATCATGAAACGACTAAGCCATCCCAACGAAACACTGTCGCAGTGATATAGGATTTCGAGGAGTCGACAAATGTGGCGAACAAAGTCAGAAAGAAAACCTCTAAAGTTGACCCAGGATTAATAAACCCGTCCCATTATTAGGGGGGGTGTTCCCTCCAAAAGTGATGAATCCCCACCAAAGGGGGACCCCCCCCCCCTATGAATCCACCAGGATTTTTATCCATCCGGGGTTAACACTCACCACTCCAACAACACAAGATGGCTTCAGGGCATCGCGTTCATGCTTTGGTTGGCGGCATGGGCGCATTAGGCACTTTGAAGCTGCTCCTTTGCCGAGGCCAGCTGGCATCCAGACTCCAATGAGAGCTTCAGACTCATCCAAGAAACTCGAGAGCTCGCTCTAGAAATGGCCAGGCTCTCACTAGCAGAACCTTCCCTTGATGCCTCACAAACCGAAGTGACCCACTCCCGCAGCCCATTGAAAGCTGAGGCTGCTGAATCCTTGCCTCGCTCTTTGACGAGCTTGATCCATATTCCATGGGGTTTGCTGGGCCCATCGAGTGGTGAAATGTCATCCCTTTTTTTGGGTGGCTCCCCGAAGGGTGAAAACAATGACCTTGAAAATTGATCAACCCCCAGATCATAGGAGCCGAGATGCGTTCACACACGCAACAATGTAGTCAAACCAGGAGATTTGGGTGTGGGTCAAAATGAAACCACAAGGAAACCGCTTGCTAAGCTTCCATTTTGGGTGCCTATGTTTGACCCGCAGCCATTTGTATTTTCCCTTCGGCCCAAATGCATCCGCGCAGCTGTGCGAGACCCCGTGTTGCGCACAATGGCAAACCTGGGTGCCAATCGAATCCCAACATGCTCGAGAGATCAAACCCGGCCGCCGAAACCAGAGTTGGTTCCAACAAGACCAAAGATCGGGTTCAAGCTTTTGGAATGACATTCCAGGACATACCTGAAATCCAGAAACGTGCTCACAATCCCTTCTGTCGATCCCTTCGCGAAAAGCTAAGGGAGAACCTGTGGTTTCTGAACTGAAAGGGACAACAAGTGGCCATGGGTCATAGCCTATGCCTCCATGTTGGGGGCGGAACACCCATGTGCCAGCTATTTTACATGTACTCACCAGGGGTGCCATTGGTTTTGACAACCACGGCCGAATGCAAAAGGGTCCTCAGTCCAACAAGTCGGAGGCTTTTGCCGGCAATTGGAACATGGCATGCCCCCCTGCACTGGAGTACAAGTGTTCACTACTATGATCAAAGCTGGCGGATAAACTATAAAAAACCTGTAAGAGCCTTTTTTCTAAAGCAAAGGGAGCTAAGCCGTTTCTAAGAAAAAGGTCCCTTAAGCATCCTTAAGCAAAGGGAAGCAAAGGGTTGACATCAAGGCCTGCCCCCCGGCAAACGGAAAGCTGGAGGCCAATTGGAATGGCCAGTCTCAACACGCCCTGCCCAGTCCAAACGGACAACCAAGCAGCTCAATGACGATGGCCGTGATGATTGCTAGCAAGGACGAGGGGATCACCTGTACAGCTTAGCAGTCTTGATGCTCGCAAAACGGACGATGCTGGCTGAAGCAACTTGCGCCCAACACCTAGTCGGCTCAATTGTGCGAAACCTGCGTTAAAAAAAGACAGGTAAGGGAAGCGTGCGGAAACAGTACAGGCCATGTCGCATGCGCAGGTCGCAAAGTATCCCACGCTGGTTGCAGGGATGCCTTGCTCAGCCGTCCACTTGCCAAAAGCCGAAAACTGCCTGTGCCCTCTTGGCACATCTGTGACGTCCATCCCCAAAGCACCAGCAGCTGTCCGCTGTCCCGGCGCCTTTTCCCCCAGCCCCGCCATGCCTTGAAGACCTTCAAGGGGATCTTCGGGAGGAACTCCATGACAGCCATGGACGAGAAGCAAATGACCTTGCTCAAAAAAGTCGCGTGAAGAAGGGCAGGGCATTCTGTGGGTGCCATCCACTTAGTACTTCTGGAAGCCCAAGCTCAAGGGCAAAAGAAGTGAAGGCCTGAAGGTGTGAGTCGACAAGCCTAAGCAACACTACGAGGTGGAAGCAGGGTTTAAGGCCGTGTAATGCCAGCCAGCCTCAAGTTTCCAAGACAGGGGGCAAGCATCCAAATCATCTCAGCACCTTCCTTCCAGTGGTGTGTCTCCTTAGCTCACATCCAGCTGCGCATGCGCGGCGGCCGCTGGGAGGCATGCCGAAAGCTAACCATTGCAGGGCCAAACGCGCCACCAATTTCGGCCCTGGAAGCAAAACCAGGCCAACTTCTCCATAAACACGCACATCTGTTTTATTTTCGATCATGCGAGATTCTTGTCCCCCCCCCACCCCCAAAAAAAAGAAAAAGCAGGGGATGAGCACGAGCGTTCCAAAATCTAACGCAACAGCTTGGCTTGAGCCACCCCGAGCCGATTCCGATTCCGCCGAAGCCTCCGGGTTTGTGAACGGATGCAGCTGCGCGTTGCCGATGACGATGGCCAGGCCGTTGCAAAAGCCCAGCATCACCTCGGAGACTGCGCCAGAAAGAGCGGTCCTTTAGCTCGCACAGCTTCTGAAACCAACTCCGAACCTTTGCTTGGATCTCTCTGGCAGAATTTGGGATGGGAATATAAGTTGCTCTTTTTTAAGAAAACGTGTGAAGCTTGACTCCTGTACTTTGGCACCCAGCGGTAGCCATAACTTAGCGCTGGACCCTGGGTCAAGACCCTGGGTCAAAGCCTTGGCCGCCGAGGCGCAGAAGATTAGGCAAGACTTCCAGAGCCAAGACTCGATGCACCTCTCTTGCTCAAAATTGTTCAAACAATAAACATTTTAACAACGCGCCCGCATTGCGGCGTGAGCTCTTGCCACTTCCCAGCTCATCGCCAAATGCGCAAGGCACTCTGCGGTGGAATTGGCAGCAGCCAAAGGACATTTCTGGGTTCAAATGGCATGCCGGCACCATGGCCTTGCGAGGCTGTCGGCCAGGGAGTCCAACATAACAATTGCACTTCATGGGGGTCGTCCATGGTCGGCCTCTTGTGGACATATGTGCCAACTCAGCACGACTTTTGGTACGCATTCTGTGTGAAGGCTGCTAAACGCACAGCGCGTTCTTCGCAAGTGTCGCTACCGAGATCCCGGCGCTCCGGGCATCCCTCCGCACTCGCCGTTGGCTGCTATTGCTGCTGCTACTGACGTGTCCGCTCCATTACCTACTGTTCCAAGAATGCAACCATGTGCCCACAGGCAATGGCATGAGAAACATTGAGTTCGTACGGCAGTCAGTGTTACATATGCAGCCAAAGAAGCCGAAAGAATTGCCTGCAATTGGTTTGCGTGCCAACTCCGGCCACCAATTGAGCCAAGTCACTGGTGAGGGCAGCCTTGGCACCGGCAACTATGAAAGTTGTCATCTGCCGTGCTAAACCAAAGGAATCGAGGAAACAGTAAATTCACCACTGAGCTGCCCTCAAATCCCCTGCTAAAAGCTTAACTTTTAAGGGGTTAAATGGAAACCAGAGGCTAAAAAGCTAAGGGGATGGCTGGGAGCCACCAAGACCATAGAACTCTCAACCAAGCAATTCATTTGACTGTGCGGAAGTGTGAAAGAGCACGACGTCTATTCTCATCAGCGCATATCAGCGCCTTTGCCCTGTCATGACTGCTGCCCGTTTGCCAAAAGATGCATGAGTGCTTCTATCAGGGGACAACAATGTTGCAACCATGATGCATGCAAAAACCAGCATTTTCCAAAAGTTGCGGAAATGAAGACATTGTGAGCAATCACCACCAGTGGGCCCCAACACAGAAAACACACATTCCATGACACAAACCAGCAACCAAAGAGCAAGCAAAAGAATGTTAAGGGATCCGGCAACCCCAAGACTGCATAACCATGAATATAAGTCCATTGTTGCAGCTTTTTGGTGTGTCTTTGGACGCTTCGCAGGGTTTTTGGTGTGACGTGTTTTTTTTCTTTTTCTCGAACTCTTGTCCAGGGGGCAGAGTGATGAAGCGCGACAGCTTCGTGACGGACACCACCATCATCAAAAGCCCAGCCAGCATCACCTCAGCTCACAGCCGCTGGCAGCCGGCGAACCTCTGTTTTCAGTTCATGCACGCAAGGCGCGCGCCAGCATGCAAATATACATCGGTAACACAGCAAATGCTCCTCACGCATGGTTGCTCACGTCTTCCTTCGCGTATTCTTTTACCAAATGACTGACAAGGTAGACCTAGCAGACTGCATTATGGAATTGGCAGAGAGCAAACTAAGACAGAAACGCGCAACAAACAGACCAACACATCACAACCGAGACAACCAAACCTCTCACTGTTCAAAGAGCCTTGGCCAATCCCCATAATTCCCATCGGAAAGGTTTTCCGGGGACCCCTACACCCCTCGAAGATTTTGCGGATTGCCCTGAGAAACAGCCCCCAAAAGTCCATAGAACCGTGGCCTTGGAAATATGGTTGATACAAAAAATCAAAGAACAAAAACCCAAAAAAACGCTCGCTCCCCGGCCATGAGCATTTTTTTCAAATATCATAGTGGTTTCCCAGCCAATGGTCACCTTACGTCAAGGCACAAATTGATCAAGTTGCATAGGCTTCATCAGGACATCCCCTTGTGAGAAGGGGTGCCAAATCAAAAACACTAAAAAAAAAAAAAACAGATTTACGGGATCAAACAGAAACTATCGATGCTCGTCCCTTTGAACCCGTTGCGCGCCATGGGTTTCTTCGAACTTTTGCTCCCGCCAGCCACCGGTACGCATGACTCGCCCCGATTCGTTTTTAGAAATCGAGGCGCGGAGGGGAAGAGCAGCTCCACCCCCGGGCCGTTGTTGCCAGTGCCCGCGGGGGGGATGAAGGTCCCCACCTTAAGTTGAAAGCTATAGGTCCTCCAGTAGGGAGGTACCAACTTTTCTTTTTCTAGATATTTTTTGCGGTGGTCTATTTTAGTAGGGGAACCCTAGCAACCCAAACAAGGGCTGAGAAAGGGCACCTAGCCGGGGGACCTGGAAAGTGTCGCTTTTGAAGCTTCTGCCTTGATGTGGATTGGCGCTTTGGTGGCGAACCATTCGGGCCCTAGATTTTTGGTATCCCAAGGAGCTGGAGTTCAAATCCCCAAGCCAATCTGGGGGTATCTGATTGTTGGGATGGCTTCAAATGGAAACCAAAGGGACACCGCCCATTTTAGAGGGCGCCCCCTATTTGGCACACCCACTTTGGCACCAGATTCTCCGACTGAGGCTGATTGCATTCCGTTGGCTACTGTGGATGGACGAAATCTTGCACCACCCAAGAGGCCGAGAGGCCCTGGCATGACGATTTTCCTGTACTGCCAATGAACAATAGTTCTTCATGGTTTCCAAGTGGTGCGAGCGAATTTCGTCCAGCCACCATAATCTCAGCTGCCATCCCCAACACTTCCAGATCCCTTCCGGAACTCTCCGCGCCGGAGCCTCCGGAGCAGATCTGGGCCTTTGGTTGTTGGTAGCTAGGTGTTTGTCCCCTAGGTGAATTATGATACTTCACCCACCTGGAATAGGGCGGTTGGGGGGATATTCCCCATATAAACCATTTGGGGTGAATTCGGTCGTGTGAGGTCGCTATGATTCGCCCAGCCCCAGACCTCGGCTGGCGAGTTTGAGACAAAAGCCCCCAACTCCCCGCTATGACGAACCAAGTTTTAATGTTCCAAATGTCAAGGTACAACCGGGGCCAGCTGAGAGCGAAGTTCAGGACCTCCGGAGGTCACAACATGGTGCCACCCAGAGCCAAGTAGAAACTCTGCTTCCATACCCGGGTAAAATAGGCAGGCAGAGCACATCAGCCACCCCTGGCCTTCTCATGCGAGGTCCAAGGTGTTGAAACAGTTTTGCCCCTTCTGGTCACATGCTCCCGGAGCCTCTCCCTGACGGAAGCATGCCCCATGCCACGCTCATACCCAAGGAGCAATGGCTGCAAAGGCACCCGTGGCACCTCACAACGGAAGGCGTCTCAAAAGGGGCTGGCTGCAGTGAAGACTGGCTCCCAGAATTCCACCTAGCAAATAGCTCTCTCTTCTGGACCCTTCCATGGTGCTCTTCCATCTCCCTCGGCAGGGCCAACTTGTTTGACAAACTTGCCCTACAAGCGACAGGCCACAGCCCTTGCTCTTCCTGACATGTCAGCCGGGCAGCCGTTGACCATCCCCGGGCGTCCGCCAAAAGCGCTGCAGATGAATCCCACGATCCACGCGGCGTGCAGCGCGATGGGTGGCTTGATGTTTGCCTCGCGAAGCGCCGATCTGAGGCCATGTTGGATGTGCGTGGCGTGCCCCAAGGGCCTAAAATTCGAGCGGTTCAAAAAAACGCGACCAACAAGGGGAAACCAAAAGCTCAAAAGGCCGGCTTTTGGGCAAGTGAGAGACCACCGCCATGTTTGGTCAACATTCTGCACATGAAACACAGCAGAAACAACGATACATTTAGAAGGTCAGCACAACGGCGGCAGCGACGGCGACAGCAAGGCAAGGCCAATGAACAACTACAGGCAACAACCCTACTTGCCCACACTCAAAGAACATTGCCCCAACATGTTTGCACTTGTCTGGGTTATATTTGGCCAACTTCCCTGTGTCTGGCTCCAGTGCTGGCTAACAAATTGAGGAGCTCCAGACTGCGAAAGGTTTTCCGCGGCAGCCAACTCCGACCCCCCCAATAGCCAATAACAAATAGGACAATTCAGAGGCTCGCTTTTGGCTCCTTCTTTGACCTAAAGCAACAACCTATGGCTACTTGCGATCTCAGCGGCCATGAAGGCAAAGGCGACCTGCGAGCGAAAAAGGTGCGGGACCCCCCTCCGGCAGGCCATACATGTATAACCTCGAAATGCCAGCAGTTGCTGGAAACTTGTGAACAAATAGGAAAACAACATTTGAAAAAACATGTCTGAACAAGCAGTTCCCTAACTTACTAACAGAAGGCACCAGGAGGGCACTTGGAAGATCAGTTTCCTCAAGGGACAAATTTCCTGTGGGAGGAAGGGTATGTGTGTTTTTGTGACGTGTGTGTTTGTCCGTCTTGAGATGAAGCCACATCGAACATCATCGAACATCGCAAGGAAAACCCACCCGGCTGGGGAGGGCCCCCTGATGGAACCCGGGCAACGGGAGGAATCCGAACCGCCGTCCAATACCCTACACAACGAGTTTGCAAGCTGATGGGAGGCCCTCCCAATTGATCTAGACGACAACCAAAAGTTCGACGTCCCCTGCCAAAAAAAAAACATGGCACGAGCTGCCAAAGAAACATGTGTCAGGCAGCGTGCTGTAACATGGCAAACCCAAGTGTTTTTTGTGTTTTGTTGTTTTTCTTTTTTAGGAACACAATTTGTCCCAAACCCGCATCTTGCACAAAAGCTTGGAGCCACGATAAACCACAAACATGAAGCCAAGCAAATCTGATTCATACGCTCAAGTTGCCCCTTCTGTGATGTGTTTTGGGGCTCTCAGGCCTTGGGCTTGGCGACACCCCGTTGGGTGTCTTCTCTGCTTCGGTTCCCATGGTGGCTGTGGGTCAAAACGACCCTGTGGACGTCAAAATGGGCGGCACATGGAGGTTGCACCTGAAAATGGGATCGCCATAGGTTCTGCCCCCATGGCCATGTAAATGCCAATCAACCTTCAGGTTCCCCGCTCGCGTGGTGCGACACCTGTGTGTCGCAACCATCAAAGCGAGGGCTTCGCAGTCCCATGATCCGACGGCCCAAGCTTGGCTGTTTTTTTCCATATCAAGCTGCTGCTTCTGGCACAGTCCCGGCAAATGTGTCTTCAGATGTTTGCATATAAAATTACTGTCCCCAATTTTTCACTCTTGCCACTTGATACTTTTGGCTGTCTCAAAATGGTCCCTCAAAGTGGGCCAACTGATGTTTTTCCCTTTACTCGCCATCCCGAAAAGGGGTGGCCTCCAGAAAAACTGGCAGCCTCCAAAAAAGACCCCCGGACACTATGAAGGGTCAAACGAGTTCTAGGCAAGGCTCCGACTCCGGGATCTGGGCGAAGCAAATCGTGACACCCAGCAAAACTTCTCGGATCACGTACTCCGTGGTGACGCCCTGCGCAGGAGCCGCAAGCCGAAATGCTTGCTGCTGCAGTTGGAGTTCAATGGGAACACTGAATGTTGACCCCATATTCATCAAACAATCTGTTAAACACAATATGGGGGTGGGGCCCCCTCCAAAGGTGGTCTGCTTCCCCAAACTCCGCGACACCCCCATATTGATAAACTGGGGTTGATCAATGTGGAGTTAACATTGGACAGAAAAGCGCAGCGCGTGGCGCACAAGCATACCAACTGTGAATTGGCTCCCTGGTGCATGCATGGGCCAACTGAGTCACGAGTACCAGCCTCAGCATACTTCCCGAAGACTTTCTGAAAAACATTATCCTCGCCTCGAAGCGATGCTGACATTGCATTGGCTGAAGCAGCTGAGAAGGATGCTTTCTGTATATGTGGCCATGGTTCAAAAGCCCGTACCCCCAGAGAACATCCCAATCCCCACTAAAATAGACTAAAACGGGTGGTGCACCTACCCCAAAATGGTACCCTTGGCTTTGACCCACAGCCATATCTTCTGTAGCTCTGAGGAGCTTCCATGCACGGCGGAAGAGCTGAAAGCCACAAACTAAGGTTCCGGCTCTTCTTTTCGTCTTCCGGGTCTGCCCGCATGATCGCGCCTGGAATCGGCACTTCAAAGCGAAGATGCTACGTAACTTCATTCTTCTAACGTCAAGCTAGGTCCTGGTGGTCGGGATAAGCACTGCATGCCAAGCAAGCATTAGGCAGTGGGTCAAAAATAGATACCCAAAATGGAACCCTGGTAAAAGGAAACATGGACTAAAATCTGCGTTCCCCTGATGGTTTAATTTTGACCCACCGCCATTTGTTAAGCAACGCCTGTCAGTGATGCCTTCCTGTCCTGCGCTTTCTGGACTGCAGTGCTCAGGGACGCTGGGATGCTGAGAGTCGATGGGATCTCCCAACCGAAATCGCTGGCTTCCTGATATGGGCTCGGCCCCAAGAAATCCAAGGCTTCCCACCAGACACATCTTATGAATGAACCTGCTGGTAAATCCAGGATGCCATCTTGGCTTCCCCTCTCCGTGGCATTCATTGCCCAGGCCCGGTGCTCAAATAAAATTGCAAAGCAAGCTCCGGGCCAGGGGAGAAACAATGGCAGAACGAGTAGCCATGGGCAAGCAACAAGGCCAGTTCGCTCCATCGCGGGCAGAAGGTGTCCCCCATGTTTGGTTTCCCGCAGGTTTCCAAGTTTCCCGCGGGTTTCTTGTGGGTTATATCTTGGGTACCCTGAAGGGAAAAACCGGCTCAATCCCAGAGCGGCGGCTTGAATTCCGCCCGAAATCCGATCCAAGCCACCCAGCTGCCACCGTTCTTTGCGGAAAACGGTCCACTTGAGCTGGGCAGCTACAGCCGGGATTCTCTCAGCAAGCCCACAAACAGGGTGAGTGCAAGGTAGCAACCACGAAACTCGACCCAGGCTACCCCAAAGGGTGGCGCCTAACGGAGTTTGCGTGCTGAATACTGTGCAAAAGCAAGCTGCGAGGCTTCCGTTGTATGCAATGTTGACGTTGGAAGGGGAGCAAAGATGTTTTTGTTTTTTTTGTTCGCAGTTAAGTTGGGATTTCCCGCTAAACCACAATAATCAAAAATGTAAAATATGTCCCAACAATGACAACACCCATGTATGTGTGTGTATCCCCCTACCTTCAGGAGGAGGGGGGTGGGGGGTCCCCAATTCCATTTATCGAGTCTTCCCCACAAAAGGGAAAATGGAACCACAAATGCAATTCCAGGGGTCACCCCCCTCCCCAATTCCATTTTTAAGGGGGTGGGGATGTGTGTGTATGTGTGTGTGTGTCAACTTTGTGACTCTGACTTTAAACTTCAGTTCCCAGAGCGGGACCTGATGCGTGATGCCATTCGCAGCGCGCCTTTTCCGAGCCGCGCTGGCTGAAAATTGGACTCGGCAAGTGAAAATGGCTGAACATGAGCCAACTGAGAACCGATGGCAGGGAGTGCTGGTTCCAATAGAAGCTGAAAAGGCCGCGTGGCTTTGAACCTCTGCCAGTGGGGATGACAGCAATCTGCTTAGTGACTACACGTGGCCTGACAAAAACATGATCCCTGAGCCATGCCCAGGATGACCTCCCAGAACCGCATCCAAATAACCGCCCGCACCGGGAGCTCACCGCCGAGCTCAGGAGAAGAAGCTGTCCTGAGGCAAGGTGGGGGCTGCCGAAGCATGCGGCTGATGGCGCAGGCCGAGGGATGGAAGCAAGGAATGCCAGGCCCAAGACTTGAATCGTGAGACCTCGGGTTCGCCGTGTACCTCCAGACTTGGAAAGAGACAAGAAGCAAAAAACAACTCGCCGGGTGCCGGAGGCTTCCGCAAGGCGGGGTGTCCCTGAATAGGCCGGAGGGACTTCGGAAGGCTCGATTCAAAGCAGTGGCCACACTGGGGTGCCTGCCATGTCTGCGAGCTTGTCCAACGGGATGTCGCACTGCTTCCTGGCATTTGCCGCTGGTCTTGCTCAAAGAGGTGCTCGTGAAAAAATGATGCTCAAGCAACAAAGGCTGCTGGTCAGACAAGCAAGCAGCGCACAAACAACACAGCACGTCAGAGTAGTCTCAGAAAAATGTGGCACAGCGCCGTCTGTGCCCAAACAGTTGCTCCGAACAAGCTAGGCGGGGCCGCTTCTCGGCAGGAGTGTCGGCAGCACAACGCAAGTCCTCGCCGGAAGAGCCACACAAATTTCCCTACGTGACTGATACAGGATCCCTTCCAGAAAGCATGGAATGTTCAAGGAAAGTTAAAAGGAACAACAACACCAGTGCACCTTTCACAGCCTCAGCATCCTCTCACCCTCATGTCTAGGGCCATGCGACAGCTCCAATGAAACGACCGGACAAAAAGTGATCGTCGCGTTGATGCAAGTGTTCCCAATTCTATCTCCCTCTTGCCCAAGGTCGCACACATTTGTCTCTCAAGGCCTGATTCCCGGCCCCTGTTTTGCCAGGCAAAAATTAACCTTTAGTGGGTTTAACACGGAAACCCAAACAAGTTGGCAAAAAGTTAAAGTCCTAACATCCAAGCAATATGCACCGCTGGTAAATGCCCTAGAACTCTGAACCAAAGAATTCATTTGGCCATGGGTCACAACCCCATACCCCCCAGTGAACTATGAAACAATCAATATGCACATCCAGTCTCCTAACATCCCTTGGCAAAATGCACTAAAGTTAATAAACCCGTCCCATTATTAGGGGGGTGTTCCCTCAAAAAGGTGTCTGAATCCAAGCAATATGCAACCAAGTCAAAAGCCGCCGCCCCCTCAGCGGCGGCTTCGGCTTGCGACTCGCGACTCGCGCGACTCCTTGATGCGCACCTCGCCCCTCTCCCACTCATCCGGCGCCACAAAGGCGATCTTGGCAGCGCCCACCTGAGCTGCACGTGAGGTGAATCTGCCTACATGGCTGTGGCTCAAACAACTGGAATTTCAAAATGGCTTGCCCTAAGTGGAACCTGCGGTTTGCCCCTCCTGTTTAATTTTGAGCCACGCACACATGGAGGTGTTGCCCACATTTGGGTCTGAATTTTCATGGACGCTTTGGACATCCAGAAAAGGGGGGGGGTGATTTCTGTCCACACACTTTTCAGGGGCCTGGGTCGCCACTGTTGCTGGATGGAAAAGAGCGATCGCAACTGGCGATCCAGGTGGTGAAACGCTTTCGGACCATTCATGGAAGCCTATTGAAACTAATTCTATACAAAAGGCTCGGGGCCTGACTCATGTTTTCTGGTTCGCGCCTGCTTGCCCTAAGGGCGTGCCTGTGAAACACTGCGTCGACAGGAACAAGCAGCCTCATTTCATGCCAGAATCGCTTTCAGCACGCCCGTTGGCCGCATGGTCTTGAGCAGAAAACAAATCGAACCCATCGCAGTCGTTGCACGGGGCTCGAAATCTCCACCACCCCCCGCCTTGTCCGCGTATCTGAAGGCCTTCTTCACCTTCCGCGCGGCGTCCGGGTACACGTCCACGCTCTTCCCCGCCTGCCGCAGCCTCAGATCGGCCAAACGTGGCGCGTGGCACGTGACGCGTGGCACAGGTTTCTGCCTTGGCTCCGTGAGCCTTACAGCATGGGGGTGGCCGACTTGGAAACCATGGGGTGCAAGTGGATGCAGCCAAACAGAATGCCTGTAAGAACCTACATATGAGCTTCTAGGTCCTCCAGTGGAGAGGTTAGAATCTGGGTACCCTTTTTCTGTAGTCAAATAGAGTAGGGGAACCCTTCCCAAAAATGTTGGTGAAAGGGCACTACTGGGGGACCTGGGCTTTGTGTGAGGGGCTTGGTTAGTTGCTGAAACACCTTTCCTGGGACAACGAAATCAAGCAGGAAGCCGCATGGCCGGCTCACAGCTCAGCCGCCGGCCTGCGGGCAACGTTCATGGCCTGCCAGGTACTTTCGTCAGACTTGGGCAGAGGGGCCCTCCAAGCCTTGGATACACCCCCAGACAAGACCCCTATCCTGAAGATTCAGGATCAAGAACTAGATCCCTGCACTGGCCATCTTCTTCCCAAAGACCAGGTCATGGTGATTGAAGGAACTGCCCTCTTCACATTGCGAGTGGCAGTCGGAAGAACGGCTTGTCACGATGCGCTGCTGCTGCAATATGCCGCGCAGATGCGGCCTTATGCCGAAACAAGAAGCACGTGTGCTTTGGAGTGCCGAACCGCGAAGATCCCGCATCGCCTTGCCCATCATGTCGGCATTGTAGGCGGCCACCACCATGTCAACACTGGCCGGCAGAGAAGGCAGCACCTGAGACCCTCTTCTTGTCACATGTGGCGCGGTTTGGGGGGGGATTCCGAAGTTCTCCCGGGCACGGCGTCCGTTTGTCTCCGTTTTTTAAAGCAGAGCCTCCACCCTCTTAGGGGAGATGGATTGCGAATTCCACCAGCCGCAGCAAACCTGCCGCGTCTCAAAGTTGCCCACAAGTCGTCCTCAAATCTGGCGTGCGATGGCGCGATGGTGAGGCCTGCCGTGAAAAGCGCTCTGAGGCCAAGGCATTTCGCTCCTTCAAGAGCTCCATGATAACCTCAGCTGGCCCAAACGTCACCAATAACCGCTTCACCATCTCACGCCCACGTCACCAATAGGCATAAATAGCAACATTGCCACGGCTCAAGTGAACCCCCTTGTTTGGATATGGGTTTTGATCTCAGCCCTGCGTGTCAAGTTAGTTTCCCTTTAAGTTCCATTAATATCCGTGAAAGGAACCTTCTCTCGGGCCACTTAAACACCAACATCCACTTGTTCAATGACATGATTTGAAGAAAAGACTTTATGTTAAGTGTAAACTACTCTAGTCTGTGGCAAAAAATGCAAGCACGGCTTGATCCTTATAGGGTATGTCCTCCCTACACGCGTCTTCAGCTGCCCACTTCGCGTCAGCTTCCGAGCCGCGCAGTCCCCGAAGCCGAAGCCGACGCAGGGCACCTCCTTCTTGGAGCCATAGAGCTCCAGCCTGGCACCGCGGTTTCGCGGGGAGCGGGGAGCTGGAGGAGGCCTTTGATGTTGACCTTTTCCGACCAGCTTTGCTTCACTTTCACTCCAGTTTTGCGGGTCCAGTGACAGTTGGTTCCTTCAATTATTAAAAGGTACATGCTACTTGGCAGACCGCGGTCTTTGATTGTTCTCCTTTGCTTCCTTTTCACCGCGTGAAACCGCGTGGGATCCAATGGGATCCAATAGGTCCGAACATGCGCGGCTGGGATCCAATGGGATGCTGGATTCCGGCGCAAGGGGCAAAGCTGGGGGGACGGGGGGGGAGGGGGGGGGGCGTGCTGCTGACTTGGATCACTTCTTGTGGTTTCTGAAAGAAATGCCAGGGCAAAGCTAGGCGCCCGGGGTGGGTGGGAGGGGTTGACAACTTTTAGTTTCTGCAAAAAATGCCTCCAGTGGCAAAGCTGGGGAGGGGTCTGACTCTGTCTCAATCTTGGCATCCCGACAGCTTGTCGTAGCGCCCGCCCCCACAGACGGCCCGCAGCACGCCAGCGCGGTCGAAGCCTTCGAACACCACACCCGTGTAGTAGGCCAGGCCTTGCCAGGAAAAGCCAGGAAGCTCTCGCTGGTGCGATTGGTACTTGGATATTCCGCTGGGTTGCGAAGTACTTGCCCCACTTGGCGGAGTTGCCCCACTTGGCGGAGTTACCCCACGCGGAGCTAAGTTCGCCAAGTGGGGCCAGTACTTAGCAACCCAGCCGAACATCCAAGGGAATGAGACATGGAATGACCCCTAGGAACCATTCCCGGGTCCATTCCCACCTTCCCTGCGATTTTTTCAGCAAGTCTTTGTGGTTTTGGATTTTTCGCTGGAATCGCGGACGCCAACTTGTCTAAAGCGCATGGGGACAAGGACAGCGAGAGGACCATCCTAATTGACAGGCAAGACCAAGTAGAACATCCATCGCAGGGACAACATGTCCGTTCAGATTGACCGGGCGGTGACCATTCCCATGACAGGAGCTTCCTGCCATGTCAAGTGGAGCAAAAGCTTATTGCTCATCGTAGCCCGCAATATGGGTATGGGTCAAAATTAAGCCACCAGGAATTGGACCGCAGGTCTTAGTCTACTTTAGCTTTGGGGTCTCAGCCCAGATAGGCTCCGGGGTGGTCCGGGGCGGCCCTGAGGTAAGGTTCCACGAGGGTTCCACCAGGGTTCCACGAGGGTTCCACGATTCCACGAGGTTCTGCGAGCACTAAAAGAGCACCGCCTGCTGTTGGGGATATCACCTGAGCTTATTATTCATCCGTGTTTGTTTTGGGTACCGATTTTTGACCCACAGCCACTTGAAATGTGGCAGCTTGCGCTGCTCCGGCCGGGCGGTTGCCCGTACCGGCAACATATTTGGTCCCCTCTTGGTGGGCCCCCCGGGAAACCAAAGGAAAGGGTGTGCCAACGTTCATTTGTGGCTGGGTGCGGTGCTGATAGATTCGTCAAGTGAGGCCGCGGATCTGATGTCAATCAGAAGTTTGCAGCTGATTCGTCACGAAGGTCACTTAGTGAGTTGCCCACCCTACCAATCAATGCGTTGCAAAATGAGCTGTCTCATCAATTATTGTTGCAAGTACTTCAAAGGGGGCATTTGCCTAACAGAAATGCAAACATCATTGGTAGTGACAATGACGAAATATTTGCCGAACAAATGCGAAATGAACAAGCTAATGAAGGTGCAATTCAAAGTGAACCATCCATCGTTCCATCGTGAAAGGCTTTCGGGAGAGGCACCTAGGCACCTCCCAAAAAGCCATCAAGTGGCGGAATGAACCGCATGAAGCGAGCAAGCCATCAAGTGGTGAATTGCTCGGTGGCATGTCTAGAATATGGGTATATATACATACATATCTATAAATCTACCCAGATTTCCAGATGCCAGCTGGCCGGTGTGAAAGGAACAAGCGTTCCCCGGACCGTGTCAACTTCGGATTGATCCTGGCATAAGAGTACCTCGACCTCGCGCCTTCCACGGATGACCGGTTCTTCAGCTACAGAGCAAAAAGCAACAACAGCCCAACAACCCAGTAGCCCAACAACCCAAGAACAACCCAACCCAACCACAAACAGGTTTCACAGGTTTTCTAAAAGGAACCAAGGAACACATAAGGAGGCACCTACAAGAATGAGTCTCAATAGGCGGGAATCCCCCCCGCCCATAACCCCAGCAGCAGAAGTAGTTGCAGGAGCTCCTTGGGCTAAAGCCTAAAGACTACCGAGTAGACGGGAGGGGGAGACGGGCGCATACGAGCGGATCGGATCGCGCGAGCGCTCCGAAGTGATACCGAAGAAACCCGAGACACACTGCCAGTTGGACGTGACGGTCAAAATCCAAATCGTACCAGTGAGCATCACGGGCCCCAGTAAAATAGGTTCCAAAATGGGTGGTGAATGTCACCTACCAACCAAAATGGGATCCCAAGACCACTTGAGAAGTGTAAAGTATGCCACAAAGGCCCTGCCTCGCACCACTGAAGCATCGAACTGCAGCCAATCTGCGTAGCCATAGTCCTGGCGGCGACTCAAGGCTCGCACCCGGCCGAGTGCGCAAATCAGGGTTTTACTACAAATGGTATGCAAGTAAGCAGGGCAAGGGCGTTGCATCCGCCACTGCTGCCTAAAGCGCTGTGGAAAATAAGCTTGGCCCAAAATCTAACACCAGATCCGCTTGAAACTGTTGCAAGACCCCCGCTTGAACAACTTAGTTACTTAAACCCCACCAGCTGGCGCACGGATTGAGGATCGATTTTGAACAACCAGCCAAAGGCTGGCCCTGCTGGTAGTGCTTAACAAGCTTTGCCAGCTGATAGTGGTCAAATAAAGAAGAAAGCAAACTAGGTTGTTCCAAATCAATCCGTAACGGTTGTGCTAGCCACCACTCCCTTGCAACAAAAAGCACCAGCCAGCCAAAACCCCAAGCCCAAAACCAAGTAAGGGTTTGCCTGAACGGCTCAAAGAAACACAACCCAAGGCTGAACCCGGCAAAAAAGAAAAAAACACCCCCCAAGGCTAACACCCCCCAAAACCCCCCGCACCCCAAGGCCAAGCAACCCCCCCCCAGCCAAAAAAAACAAAACAACCCCCAACCCGCCGCGCTGACAAATTCCCGCCGCCTCTCCCTCCCCCAGCCCCGGCTCGGCCTTTCCCCCCCCGGCCGAAAAACCGAAAGTTCGGCGGCCGCCTCCGCCAGGGCGAAGAGCCGCCGGAGCTCCTGGACCTCCTCGCTCTCCCCCACCTCACGCGGCCGGGCGCGGATGTGCGGACGTGGGGCTCGGAGTGCTGCCCGCTCCTGTTGGGAAGAAGCTCCACTTGGAGAACAAGGCTTTTTAATTGGGTGGATTTTTAGTCCACTTGGAGAGCAAGGCTTTTTCTTGGGAGGATTTTTAGTCCACTTGGAGAGCAAGGGGTTCTCTTTTTTTGGGGGGGAGGATTTTTTTAGCCCATTGGCCCCCTGGGGCAGCAAATGTGGAGTGGGTGTAACCGCAAAGGGTAGGTTATACAAAGCCGATGACCCACAACATTCCTTTGGGAGTTTTTTGGGGAGGAAGTTTAGTCCATGCTTCCATGTTTCCCAGGGGGCCAGGGGCGCCAAAACTTGGGGCTTAACCAATTTTGACCCACAGCCATACTGCAGCTGGACGCGAAATCCAAGCGACCCATATAACAAACCCAACGGCTTCTGATTCGATCCCCCCACGTAAATACCAAAACCCATGGCTTCGTTTCGTGGTGCCAACCGATTTCGTCCATCAGCACCTCGCGAAGCGCAACATGAAAGCAAGCAAGGGGGATGTCGGAGTCAACCAATTTGGGCATGTGTCCAAAATAGGGGGACGCCCAAAAAGAAGGTTGGCATCTGTCTAGTTCCTCTCCAAGCCAACCTAAAAAACTGGCCTCATTCTTCTACCATGATCAAAGTCACCCCCTAAGTGGTGGGCTAGAGGGAAACAACCCCCCCAAAAAAAAAAACAAAAAACGTCGCACCGCTCAGCTGGGGCGGGCGCCCCAGCGATGTCCGCGAACTCCTCGAGGGTCTTCGCGCCAGTGGCGGCCACGATGGTGTCTGCCACCTCCGAGGACAGGCCCACCTGGCTCGGAGGTGCGCGCCCGGCCAAGTCCCAAGCTTCGAAGCGAACCTGGCGCCCACCGTACCAAAGAAGGGAAGCATGTTTATTTTATATATATATATATTTTTTGGGGGGGGATGTTTTTAGAAATATGCTCTCATAGTTTTCCAGGGGGCGAACACGCAAATGTAAGAACAAGATTCACGATCTATTTGCACTGGAGGCGTCGGGGGTGGGGGGAGGAGGAGGGGGGGTTCCGCTTTGGGTCATCGCCACGAAGACGGAAAAGAGATAGGTTCAGGGGGAAAACAACATGTTTTTGAGCTCATTTGGCAAACAGGTCCGACTTGCAGGGGATTCTAGGAATGAAAGTTCAGCCCTTTGAGAGAGCACGAGAACTTGCAACTTCACTTAGATAATTTAGCCGTAGAGACTACAAACGCATCCCACATTGCCTTCAATCAAACTTACAGCCGACAACTAGCTTCGATTACCCAGCAGTGGGGACCATTTGAGGGCAAGCAAGCTAACATTTAACAACTCCTGCTTAAATCTGTGCATTGCAAAACCGCTGTGGCACGCCTGCTTTGCCAATTCCTTCTTCACTTCGTCGGCACCAATCTTGTCAAGCTTGTCGATGATGACGCAAGTCTCCGCAAACCTTTGACAAGGTCGTTCAAATGAGCCACTGGAGCGCATATGACGCAAAGCCCCACCCCTGCCTCTGCGATTTGAAAGGGAAACGCCTTTGGCAAAATCGGCAGGGCTCAAAATATGCCGATTTCGCTCAAGGTGCAATCTGGGTGAACTACCATTCCCCACATAAATTTGGGGTGAATTCGGTCGTGTCAAAAGAATTCACCCAAACGCAATAACGCAGGGATGCCTGCGGCATCCTGGAACAGTCCTCTGCAAAACCCTCCTGATCTCGTGGCCCTATCCCTTGACTGCACCATGCCGTCAGATTGCAGGCCAGTTCCAAGCTCCTTTTGTCGCAACTAGAATGCCGAAGCCGGAGGCAAAGAGCCTAATTCTAGGGGTACCTTCCCCGTTCTTTCCAGGAATCCTTCTTTCTAGAGAACCTTCAGTAACCGAGGGAAAACGGCTCCGGTTGTTTTTACAAGAGCGATGGTTGAAAAGAATGGGCAATCGGAATCACCCCCCCCCGGGACCAATTCTTAGGCAAGGTTTCTCACTCAACAAAACCAGTCAGGACATCCACCAGCTTCGTTTCGCTACCCCGCGAAAAGCCCGAGGCAACTTTGGATTCCTTAGTTTTTGGGCGGGGAACATCAGGTTTCCTCTAATTGGTGGTTTGATGGTTGAGGGGTTGTTTGCCATTTTGCCATTCACCCTCCACAAGAACTCCAGGAATCACCAATCCCAAATCCCTCTTGACCAAGCTGTTCATTCTCTGCGATCAAAACACCGGCTGGCTTCTTCGAGGCTCTGAAACCCATCCCCAATCCGGTCCAAGCCACCAAAGGGCTACCGGCAGGCTGGCAAAGCCCACCCACCGGCCAACACCCCGAGTCCCAAAACCAATTAAGGGTTACCTGAACGACTCAACCCCCAAACAAACCACACCCCCAAGGCTGAGCCCTGGTAAATGGAAGCAAGGACTAAACCTGTGGTCCATATTTTCCTGGTGATTCATCAGGGGATCCTTACATTATACACCTGAACATTGCCTTGTAAATGGTGGTTTCCCTGTATTTTGGTGCAAAAAGCCATGTGTCAAATAGGCAAAATGTATTTTTTGAGGAGCCCTGCTCATTTGGACCCATACCCCGTTCGGAGCGACACCTCCCTTTGGTGCCCCGGCTTTTCGGATGGCACGCCCGCCGAGTTCAGCACAGCGCCCAGCACCTGGCGAAGAAACCAAAGGAAACGAAGCATAAACAAACAAACAGACAGACAATTACCCTTTTTCACCTGCTTGATTCAGCCAATGCAACACCTTCATTTCACTCCCTTGAATGGGCACCCTCATTTAACGCCCCATATTCAGCGAATGCACAAAAAACAAATCAAAAAAAGGAAAATAACAATAACACAAAGCAATTCCGATCCAACGAAAACACAATTCGACAAAAAAGGAGAAGGGGGAGGAAGGCAGGAAAGACACAAATGAATGAATGAATGAATGAATGAATGAATGAATGAATGAATGCATGAATGAATGAATGAATGAATGAATGAATGAATGAATGAATGAATGAATGGATGAATGAATGAATGAGTGAGTGAATGAATGAATGAATGAACGAACAAACGAACGAACAAATGAGTGAGTGAGTGAGTGAGTGAATGGATGCATCCATGCATCAATGCATCTATGCATTCATGGATGGATGAGTTAATGGATAAAACCAACATAATGATGCATGAATTCACCAACAAAGAATATAAGCACAGGAACCAACACATCAATAAATAAATAAATCAATAACAAAATAAAATAAATAAACAAAGACATAATATAAGCCATGGAACCCAAACTACATACATAAATGCAACCGCACCATAAACACATAAATGGACAAAGGGGGGGCAGAAAAAAAGAAAGAAAGAAAGAAAGAAAGAAAGAAAGAAAGAAAGAAAGAAAGAAAGAAAGAAAGAAAGAAAGCAACATAAAGAAATAACAAACAACCTAACACAATAGATAAAGCAATACGTCGACAAGAGATACATATTTTAGAGATAAATGCATATTGAATAATAAAATGATAAGAATAACCAAGAGAAACAAACACACAGGACAAGACAAGCAAAGAACATAAGATCTATCAAAGAAAATAATCAACCAACCAACCAACCAACCAACCTGCCAGCCAGCCAGCCAGCCCAGCCCAGCCCAGCCCAGCCCAGCCCAGCCCAGCCCAGCCCAGCCCAGCCCAGCCCAGCCCAGCCCAGCCAAGCCAAGCCAAGCCAAGCCAAGCCAAGCCAAGCCAAGCCAGCAGAGACGCAGGCAGGCAGGTAAGCGCAGCTAGCTGGCCAGCCAAACAGCCAGCTAACCAGTCAAGTTGTTCTTCCTGCTTCGTGGATTCCGTTTTTGTCCTGGCCAGAGTGCTGATGAGATGGGAGTCACTGAATGTCTTGAACTGCCCAGGATCGCCCCCCTGGCAGCGCAGACTGCTGCTTCCAAGCTCCCTGCAAGGTTGCTATGCACAAGCCAGCACTGAGCAGGGTGTGACACATGGTACGCAACTCTCAGAACTGCTCAGCAACATGTTAAAGCCCCGTACTTGGGGGGATTCCCTTGCTTGCCCAACTCACCTGCCTGAGGCCTCCCTGCTTTTGACGGCCAGCCAGCCCGCCAACCAGCCAACCAGCCAACTCACCAACCACCAACCCACCACTCTCGAATCAAGAGCCAGCCAGCCAGCCAGCCAGCCAGCCAGCCAGCCAGCCAAACAACCACCGCCCAGCATAAAGTAAAGCAGCACCGGAAACATCAGTTTAGACCAGACAGCGGTGTCCAAACCTCACCCGCGCCTTGCGCGAGTTGATCTTGAGCCCGACGTCTTTGGATGTGATGCCAACCTGGGACCGGCAAAAGGAAGCCGCCAAACTCCCCACGATCCAGCCCTGTTTCCAAACTTTTGGCCCTGTCCCCCTGCGCCCATCTGCGCCCCTGCCTTGAAAAGGAAAGACCATCACTGGCTGCTAAGATGGTTAACCTGTGGTAGACCACTGGGTTGTCATGCGCGTGTGCCATATTTTGGGGAGCCCATTTTTGACTGGTTTTAAAGGGAAACCACCAGGACACCAACCATTCTTGGGGGCTGATGGAGGCGTCTAGCTGCCCCACACAGCCTTCAAAATGGGCCCCTGGCGCTCTCGAAAAAGCCCACCACCGCTGCCAGCAGCTCCGCCTCCGCCGTCACCTGTGGGGAGAAAGCATCAAAGGAACACCTTGGACACAACTTCGGGGGGGTTGATCAATAGGGTGCGGATTCTTGTGGCATTTGATTTCGATTTGTTTTGCTGTTTTTGTTGGTTGTTTTGTGTTTGTTCCAGGGGTGGGTGGCAACCCCTGGAATTCCACTACTGGACCTCCAGTTTTTCCAATGAGGGTGGATCAAAAGGTCTGGGATGACTGGTGAAAACCACAAACACCCTGATATTGCCTGCATGGCAAAAGTTACCCATATGGGTGAGGTGGGGGCGAACGGAACGTGGATCACGCAATTTCCATGCCCCAGGGCTGCCAAACAAAGTTCCCAAACGTAGCTGAAAGAACTCACTTGATTCGCATCCAGGCGTAGGAAATGATTTCTCAAAGCCGTCCACAAGTGGTAGGTCAAATGGGAAATGACATGGTTGTGTAACTTGTTGGCTGTGGCTTCCTGGTATCAGCAGCTTGTAGGCTTTGCATGTCCGAATAACAGGCATGACGGCTACGTCATTGACCCGTCGCCTGGTGTAGCTGGTGCGTTCCATTCAAGGCGATGCCCCTCCCAATCGCTCCCAATGGAGTTGAACTTGCACTTCCTCATTGAGTGACAACGGCACCGAGGTTCAGGACCCGGACTTGCACAGTGCTCGCTGCCCGTCAATCCAATGCATCAGGCCGCGTCCGAATTCAGCAAGCTGGCGAAGCGTTGTCTGGTCAAGCGGCCTGCCGTTTTGGGTCCGCTAATGCGATCTCCTTGACGCAACGCTCCGAAACCACAGGGGAAAAACAAAAAACATGGCACTTGAAACCAGTCCCAGAGGCAAAGGCTGCGACAAAGCGAGCTGCCGACTGGTTCCGTCTCCCTTCTCCCAGCCTCCGACACGCCGACCTCGGCTGAAGCAGTGAGGCTGGCTCGGCAGGGCGCCAAAAAAAGGCAGGGTGATCTCTTTGTTTGCCACGAACCATAGGTGGCCTGGAGGAAAAATAGATGGGATTCCCTGGTAAATGGAATAAACCCCATCTAAACCAGTGGACCCCTTTGATATTTTAACCAAACTAACCTGAAAAGGACACCTATGCCTGCAACTTGAATCGAAAGGTGCCTGAGCACCTTCGCTCACTACGAAAACTGCTGGGTGGTAGCAACTCCCTTTCCTAAATGAGGCTGGTTACATGGCGGCCGCGCCCTTTGTTTTTCAGCTGCACATGCCTTCGCCATAGTCTTTGACCGGACGGATCCCCGCAGGGCCAAACATGTCCGGAAACAAATCGAGGGGGAAGCGTCCCCAAAGCACTCGGTTGGGCTCAATCCCGAGCAATTGCCACAGCCTGGTTTCCTCACACTTCTGAACTCACTGCTAGAAGCACGCCTTCCATCACTGCCAGGAGCCCAGCTTTTCTCAGGCAGTTAAAACACACGAAGGGCACAGCCCCGCGGTAAAAGCTATGTGCTGCTTGCCAGCCCGCTTTCTAGCTTCATCCCCAACCGGTTGCACCCAATCCCTCATGGCCCCATAGCCCCCAAAGATCATGCCAAGATGCCACCAGTCTCCCAAACAAGTTCATGGCTGGAGGTCATCCCACACTTTTCTGGCAAAGCCCACAAATCTGGACATCGCGCGCCCATGGCTTGCCCTGCGGCTTTCTGCCGCCGGCCGAAACCGGCCGAAAGCTCAGGCGATGAAATACTGCTTGAAGGGCCCTGGGAAGCGGCCGCCGGTGCTAAGAATCTCCTGAGAGCAGCAGCAAATGAACCTGGAACCCAATTTTGGGGAGCTCGAAGACACTTCCCCTGGACAAGGATGATTTTTTGGGGTTACCCTAAAACCTATACTCTTGTTTTGGGGGCTCCATGCGAAAATCTGCAGTGGGATCCTGCACATAGAGCTGCGATCGCAGGTCGGCTAGCTGGTCTTGGGTCTGTCTGATTTTTGGGGGTACCCCCATTTTGGTGGCTTCAAAGGGATTCAAAGGGAACCAAAAGGAACACCACCATTTTGAGGGTTTCCCTATTTTGAGACAAACCCTCTGACTTGCTTTTGATTCTCAGCAACCTGTCATCCCTTTCCCTCCAAATGCCCATAATGCAAAGTGGACCTCTTCACTCTGCTGGCCTCCTCATTGTACCATGATCAAAGTCACCCCCTAAGTGGGGTGAAACGGGGAAACCACCACATCTTCTGACTTTGATAAGTTATCTAACCCCCAGAAACCGAACCGACAGAATTGGCCCAGCTCTGTCCTGCGTCTTCTCCATCATCTTAAAGCGGTTGTAGAACTGGGTGAGCCCCGGGTACGGGAGCAGCACGCTGGCCTCGCGCCGCTTTGGTGGCAAAAAAAACGCCCGGCGACTCGACGACGCCGGATGGCCAGGGGACGAAGACCACAGGCCACCACAGACCACAGGCCCTGGCAGATGAGCAAAAACCACCGGGTAAACCAGGAATCGAAACCCATCCGATTTTTCAACCAAAACAACTTTTCAAAAAAGGACACCTATGCCCCCACACGTAATCCACCTATAGAGGACTGTGGATGGTTGCGACATCCATTTCGCACCACCTAAGAGACCCTGGAAGGATTATTCCGCTGTAAATACCGACAAACAACCGCTTCAACCATGGTTTCAAAGTGATGCGAGAGGCGCATTTGGTGCATCCACCGTATGTCTGAAAAAGAATGATCGCCGGGCAACCCAGGGCGTGCTTGCATGGTACAAATTTGCTTTTTCGCACACAATGGCCGCACTTCCGAGAAGGACTACTTCTCAAATGCCCACTGGCCATGGGAAAAAAACATCGGCATCCTTTGTTGGTTGGTTGAGGTTAATGGGGAACCCTTCCCAAAAAAAGGAATGAACAAAGGGGGGGGGGGGGGCGGAATCCAGGGGGCAAATGTGTTTTTCTCCCTGAGCAAACTGACCTGCAACGTACCGCTGGGTGTGTGTGTCTTTATTAGTTTTTTCCCAGCGCCTGTCCAAACGAGGCGGTCTCTTCAGTGCAACAGGTTCACGTCCGACGCCCCGGCAGCTGACTGTTGGGTTTCAAGAGGACGCTTCAAATGCCGAGCAAAGTGACTTGCCAGAATGCTAGGGGAAACTCGGGTGCCCTGTGCGCACAGAGAAAGGAAGGCAAATCCACACATACACACAAATGCTGCACCAAAGGAACGGGAAGGACCGTATTTGGCTGTGTTTGCGCATTAGGAGCTTGTAGCAACTAACAGCTATGCCCTCACAACAATTCTGCACTCATCAAACAAGCTCAAGTTCCTGCGTATCAGCCCTGGAAATGTTGTCAAACAAGTGGACGGGAGACTGACAATTCTGGAAGTTGCAGCCATGGCAAACCCAAGTGGGGAGACAACCAGCCACTGGCATCAATCTGCCAATTGTACGATGTTTCCAAAGCCTGAAATAAGAAGTGGATCCCCAAGCAAAGGATCTTTCCCATGGTGAGCTCGTCTTACCCCCGAACCGGTGCGCTCGCCCTAAATTTCGCAGCGCCGGCGTCGGATATTTCGCCACTTCGGACTTCGCCACCTTTGCAGAGGCGAAAGTCGGATTTCGGAGTTCGCCGGATCTCGCCGCCTTTGCAGGGGTGGATGGCCTTTCGCCGCTTTTGCCGTGCAGGGGGAAGTCGGAAAATCGCCACATTCCGCCACCTTTGCCCCGCAAGCAAAAAAAAAGAAAAAAGAAAAAAAGGGGCCTTGATCATCACCAGGCAGTGGAGGATGGCGAAGAGCTTGCACTCCCCCACGGAGACGCCGTTGCTGGTGAAGACGCCCCGGTTCCTCGGCTTCGGAGCCTGGGGCCCCGAAGCCCGGGCGGGAAGTTCAAGTTGGCCACGTGGCTGGAGTGGGAGACCCAGGAGGCCCCAGGGTTTGCCGGGTTGTTACTTGTTAGGTTGTTTCTGTTTGTCTTTATATTTATATGTATGTATCTATATATATATGTATATATATATATTATTTAGAAAAGGAAACAATGTTCTGGCAACAACTCTCAGCTTAAATGATGTCACCGACATCGATTACGGCCAAGCATCAACAAACTGCGGTGCGATTGTCTTTTCGTGTGAGGCAGCCTGCTTCAGCCACGATGTATACTGAAGATTGAACAGGTCAGGAATGCTGGGGTGGGACTTCGAGGGCTTCAGGGAATCCAAGCTGAACACACTTCCCCCTCTCCCTCCTCTCTTTCTCCGCCTCCCCACACCCAACTCAACCCCCAACTCCACCCCACTTACCAACGAGTGGAACCCCCAGCATCAGACAGTCGGGCCCATGCTGCCCCAAAGCACTTGGCTCGGGCCAGGGCATCTCCAAACAACGTGTGTCTCACGCCACTTTTTCCGCAGATGTCTCGGCTGGCGCTCGATCCGTGCGAGGGAGGCAGGGAAGGAGAAATGGAAGGAGAACCGGTTTTGGTTGGATTCCCGGTTAGGGAACCATAAAAAGGGATCTCATTCCATAAATCTCATTCCCTGCTGATGGCAGCAAGCCATTGTTCAAACGCAAGAACTCTGGCGCTTGCCAACAAAGCGTTGCTGAAACCAAGAAGTAGCGCTTTTCGCACAGAAGCGGCAGGGAGCCTCAAAGAGACGACCGCTCCAAGCAATAATTAAGGTACCTACAACCAAACACACCTGCAAGCCCACCGATTCAAGCCAGTTCCACCACACCCAGCCCCCTCCACACACCCACATCCCCCCCCCAAAGGAGAAAAAAACAGAAAAACATCCCCCCCCCCCCATCCGCAAAAAAAGGGGGGGGGGGAAAAACACGAGAAGACGACACTAAACTTAAACAAGACCCAAAGCTGCAACGGAGGCGCCCGAACTTCCCGGCCGCCTGGGTGTAGAACTTCTCCAGGAAGGCCAGGTGCGCTGAGAGGCCCCGATCCTCGGGTCTTCCGCGCGCTACACGCTGTCGCGCGCGGCGGGACGTGGCGTTTTCTTGGGCAAAAAGGGATTGAAGTGAGTGATGCCGTTATAGGATTATCCTGGGGTTCGGCTACCACCAAGAAGACAATGTTCTTTTTGTTGTTGATTTGTTTTAACCGCCATTGTTTACCTAAGGATTGTCATCCTCCAATTTGGGTCCTGGTCTTTTGTTTTTGTGTTGTAAATGGGGGTTGAACCCGAGGGATTACCTTCTGGAAAAACAAAGAAGTCGACCTGTTTGGTCGGATATGCTACCTGGGATGTCTTTTTCAGCTTCCCTCCAATTGGTGGTTTGGATTGGTGGGTTGGAAGTTAGGAGTTTCCCATCTACCCTCTACAAGAACCCCGACAAGTCCAAGCCAACTAAGGGTTACCTGAATTCCTGGTGCTTTCAACCGCGTGGCATGGTAGACAACAGCTTGCGTGCCACGTTCTCAGACCAACTCAGACCAACCAAACAAATTTAGAGAGACAAGCGCTAGGGGTGGAATCAGGCAACAAGTGGAATACTTGCATTGCACCATGTTGCGCAGATACCTTGCAACTGCGACACCTTTGAGCTTGGCCAGCTTTAACACCACGCAAATGTCTGGTTCTGCTCGAAAGCCACGGGTGTCTAAACCACTATGATTCTATGATTGCCCGCCCTGAAGACCTGCAATGCAGCAATCTTGCAGGCAAACGCAGCCCAAAATCAATAGCCAATAGCACTGCAATGCATTTCAAATCAGTTGGCCACACCCACGAAAAGGTCACAGAACAGAATTGAACCAGAGGTAGCTTAAGCAGGAATTCGAACCGAAAACTGGTTGGAGCCAAAGAGTCCAGCGATGAGGCTGAGAGTTCCGGCCGAGGCGCACGGGCGTGCTTGGACTCGTCGCTGTCCTCCCAGAAAGCTCGGAGCTCCTCCATGCTGCACTTGTCCTCTCGCAAAGCGGAAGACTCCAATCAATCAGGCGACCGGGTTGCTTGGCTGGACCTACCCATGAAAAAGCGCAAAATCACGTCGTTTGTTTATTATTTTGCCGTTTTCGCGCGACCAAACCTCATGGCCGCGCAAGCGATCCGGTGGCCGGAAGCTGGAGATGCGCAACTAGGCCTCTCCAGCCCTACCTCTCCCCGCCCACATGATCAAGCCCTTCCAGCGGAAGCTGTGAGGCCCCTAAGCACGACGGGAAAGACGGGCAAGCGAGAACACAACTTGTCAAAAGCGAGACATCTGCGCTGATGGGAACTTGAATTAACACAGTGGATGAAGAGGACGGTTGTACCTGACCTAAACGAGAGCAGAAAGCTTTATCGGAGAATCTGCTGCGCGTCTCCCTCCTCAATTTCCTGTGCTTCGTGATGGTCTGGCACAGCCAGAGCTTGAATGCCGTCTGGAGATGTGAGGATTTCCCACCTCCCTCCCGCCCTCCCTCCCTCCCTCGCTCCCTCCCTCCCTCCCTCGCTCTCTCTGTCTCTCTCTGTCTCTCTCTCTCTCTCTCTCTCTCTCTCTTTCTCTCTCTCTCTCTCTCCCTCTCCACGTCTCCAGTGTCCTTCACGCCGATGGTGTTCTGATACTTGCCCAATTTCTGATAGATATCCTGCGTATGTCACCCCGACAGGGGCAAAGAGAGGAGGAATGCTGCGCACCATCACATGTAGCAAGCCGGCTGTGAATCAAAAAGAGAAAGACTGTTGGGGGGGTGTGTCTCGTCTTGAATGAAAGTCCTTCTCTTCAGGGTTGCATCCCTCCAGCAAATCCTCCGAGCGCCCTGAAACGATTGAAAACACTGGCCAGCCCACCCAGAAAGCGTTGGGACAGAGGAAGCGAGCGTAAGACGTAAGAACGCGAACGAAAATCCTGATTTGCTTTGACAATTTGCTACACCCCACTTTTAGCACCACCCATCCAGCCGCCCACAACTGCTAAAACATGTCACAACCAGGTGCTTTTGGATACTCTCAGGGGTGAGGCAGATAGACTTACCCCAAAACATGTTCCGAGCACGTATGGGCATTCCTCGTGCTGCGGAACACTCTGATCCCAAAGTGAGATCAGTGCACGTATCGGCAAGCACGCTAGATTGCTGCACACGTACGCACAAAAAGCTGTTCTTGTGTTTGTTCATGTTTGTCATGTGCTTTCCGCATATAATTGGAGGCACCATGTTGCGGGGTCCATCCCAAACCAAGCCTAGAGCTGGTCCAATGTCACCAGGAAGCGAAAAGGGTACCTGAAAACTGGGGGGCCGATGGGCGACCCGGGGGTTTTGTATCATGGAGATGCCACCGGATTTTTGAGGATTCAGGGCGAAAGGAAGCCAACTGTTGAGACGGGCTCCCGCTGTTCATTCCGCAAAAGCCTTATTTGGAGTAGCCTTCGCTTGCAGCGGGAGGCATGCCAATCAGAGCAATGCCAAGTGAAACTGAACTCTCTGATGCAGAGTGCGTATATTCGACAAAGCGCCACACCCATGGGCCCCTCTCCCTCCCTCCCTCTCCCTCCCTCCCTCCATCTCCCTCCCTCCATCTCCCTCCCTCCCTCCCTCCCTCCCTCCCTCCCTCCCTCCCTCCCTCCATCTTCCTCCATCTCCCTCCCTCCATCTCCCTCCCTCCCTCCATCTCCCTCCCTCCATCTCTCTCTCCCCCTCCGTCTCCCTCCCTCCCTCTCCCTCCTCCCTCTCTCCCTCCCTCCATCTCCCTCCCTCCACCTCCCTCCCTCCCTCCATCTCCCTCCCTCCATCTCCCTCCCTCCCTCCATCTCCCTCCCTCCATCTCCCTCCCTCTCCCTCCCTCCATCTCCCTCCCTCCATCTCCCTCCCTCCCTCCCTCCCTCCCTCCATCTCCTCCCTCTCCCTCCCTCCATCTCCCTCCCTCTCCCTCCCTCCATCTCCCTCCATCTCCCTCCGTCTCCCTCCCTCCATCTCCCTCCCTCCTCCCTCCCCCTCCCTCTGTTGACTCGTTAAATTGGTCTCTCCTTTTCCAACCTCGGGCCAGGGATTCAGCCCATCCTCCGCGGACTGGGCGATCTGGCAGGACACCGCGAACTCCTCGTCGTTGGCGCCCGCCAGCTTGGGGCACTTCCGCGCCAGGAAGTGGAGGATGGCCAACTCGTGGCCGATCTGACCCTCAGACTTCAGGGCGCTGAAACGTGCCGCCGGGACGGGAGTTTTACACGCAAGTCCAAGTGTTCATTTTGTGGTGGGTCAGAGTCGAACCACCAGGATATGGACCACAGGATGAGTCAATTTTTGCATGTGCCAAATGTCCGTTTTGGACTTTTGTTTCACCCACAGCCAGCCAGTGTGTGGACTCTGAGATCTCACCCTGCCATTGGATTTGGCCCACATTTCCTTCACGTCAAGTCGCTTTTCCTTGTTTGCTTGCTGGACCGGTTAAACGCAGGCCAAACAACGTTAAAAAAACTAGGTGTGAAAGCTTGCGCTCCTTTTTAAGCACACAAGCCAAGCGGAGCAACACTCACCCAGCTAAACTTCCTTGACTGCTCTGGAAAACTGGGCATTGCACAAAGGCTGCGGTTGCCTTGACAATGACTATGTGGCATTTGCTTCTTTGCTCCATGTTTGGTTCTCTTTCATTCTTCTGGGACAACGGTACGTGTGTAACATATGTATGCGTGCAATGTTGACCCCGTATTAATCAACCCCAGCCTGTTAATAGGGGGTGTTCCTCTCCAAAAGTGATGATTCCCCACTAAACCTAAGGACACCCTTACTAAACTGGGGATGATTAATATGGGGCCAACACTATGTATGTATGCATGTATGTTGGGGGGTATGTATGTATGTATGTATGTATGTATGTATGTATGTATGTATGTATGTATGTATGTATGTATGTATGTATGTATGTATGTATGTATGTATGTATGTATGTATGTATGTATGTATGTATGTATGTATGTATGTATGCAATGTAGCGCAGCGTAGTGTAGCGCAACAGAATGTATGCATGCATGCATGGATGTGTGCGTGCGAGTGTGTGTGTGTGTTGTCACAGTTATGTTTGGAGCTAAACGGCTTTCTTCGGAACCAAACGTTCAATTCGGAAACTACGACTCGGAAACCAAACACCTCCTCTGTCTGTCTGTATGACTGCATGTATGTACGCATGCAGGCTTCATGTCCTCTAATGCCGGATTGTCACAATGCATATGATTGAAATATACAAACAAGCATGGAAGCAAGTATTATTGTTGGGCTTGTGCACATGCAGGCTCAACCGACGCATTCAAACCTTACCCAAATCTCCATGCACTCGCAAGAAAAGAGACGGCTTCCAAAATAATTACAGCACCCCCCCTGCCAGTATGGCAATAACATCGAAAAGAAAAGAAGAAAAAAGAAGAAGAAACATGACGACTTTTGAGGGTGCCTCTACGAAACAAAAGTTGATCCTCCAAATCAAGCTGCTAAGCAGCCGAGTTCAACCCCAAGCCTCGCTCCGAGATCCTCGATCCCCACTTGGCATGGCTTAACCCGGCCTGCCCCGGGACCTCCAGCATGGGCAGCTCACCAAAGGGAGTGGTTGGCTTCCTGGCGGATTCCGGGCCCCGGGTTCCCACCGCGTGGCTGGGTCGGAGCCTGCGCTCCAGATGTCAAAGGTGGAAACGCAGCTGGTTCGTTCCGTGTGAGTTTCCGGCACAGGATGGGACCTGCCATAGGTGAAACGAAAGAGAAGTGGACATGGAGGCAGTGAACTGGTTTGGGTGCGCGAGGAATGTCCGGGGCAGTGGCCAATTGGAGTTCTTTCCTCACCAAAAAATCCAAACCAACGTGAACTGAGCAGGAAGCTGTGTAAACTAGCATGCATGTAGCATGTGAACCAACTGAGGAAGCAGTTGCAGAGGGACTGTCTGGTGGGAATCCTCTTGGATTGATCGTGCACGTACATTCTCAAAGCACCAACGTGCTGTGGGAACGCGGAGCTGAACAAATCCAAATGGGTCATGCAACCCCCATGGAAACCAACCACCCGGCAGTCGACAAACAACAAAAACAACAACAACAACCGTTCAACCAAACCAAACAAACCCATCAATAAACCAACCAAACCAAACAAGCAGAACCACCAACCAACCAACCAACCAACCAACCAACCAACCAACCAACCAACCAACCAACCAACCAACCAACCAACCAACCAACCAACCAACCAACCAACCAACCAAATAAAGCCAGCAAACCAACAAACCAACCAACAAACAAACACAGGCCGGCCAATTCGCCCCTTCCCGGATACCAACTTCTGCTTCCCTCTGCAATAGCCACCCAGGTCCCGCCCGACTGGGGCGCCCTGCAACTCCTTCCAGGCCGTGGGGAAGATGCCTTCCCAGTCCAGGTTCCCGTGCGAGAGCGCCAGCGCGATGGCCGGGCCCTTGGCAAAGACGTTGAAGTAGTAGAGCTTCACCTGGCGGTGGTTGTCAAAACCGCTTTGGGATCCCATTTTGGTTGGTAGGTGAATTCACCAGTGGGGATTGGGATGTTCACTGAAAATGCGGGATTTTGACCCATGGCCACCTGACTTTGAAAACATCCGAAAGGTCTTTGAAGCTGAAAACCGCCTGTCCGAAAGGTCCTAAGCTGAGGTTTGTGCTTGTAGGAACACAGGGAAGCCAAAGGGGGTTCCCTTCACCCGAGTTTCATGGACCCAGACTTGCCTCGGGCTCGTTGTTTACTAGGGCTGGTTTTTTACTGGTTGGTTGGTTGGGTTGGCTAGAACTGGCTGGTGCGATAGGGAATATGATGGAATTGATGGAATGAACCGCTTTCGGGGATTTCCGAATTGTTAGGACATATCCAGTTGGATGGCTTTTCTCGGAGTCATTCCAATGCTCATTCCCTGCTGAGCACCAGCAAGAAGAGGGGCTATAGGCAGCGGGGCGAAACTCCCTTATTCACCCCTTCAGGCCTTATTACGGGCTTCTCCTCGCTTCTGGGACTAACCGAACGCGAGCAAGGTCCCACCCAAGCAACACGTTAAAAATGGGTAAGAAAGGGCATGCTGAAATGGTGACGTGGGCTGACTTGTGACTGGGCAAACTATATTTGAACCAATATTAAGACCCGAAACAAACTTTGAAAAGGGGTCAAACATGAAGCATCCCAGTATGTCCCCGTGTCGCCTCATTATTTGCTTTTCCCAATGCCTCCCCAACTGCAGCTATTCTGTGTGACCCTGACCGGGTGCAAAATGCGGAAGCGAGCGGTGGGTTTACTCGAAGTGCTTGAGCCGAAAATTAAATTCCCCCGAAAAAGGTGGGCCTTGGCTTCAAATGGGTTCTTGATGTTTTGGGAAGTGGCCTTGTATTGCTTTCGCTGATCACTTCTGCTGCCGCAGTCCCCTCTGCTTTGCTGAACTCTCTCGCGCGTTTATGGCTCTCCTTTATGCGCAACTGCTAAACATCGAAAGGAAGAGGTCAATTTATCTTTGATGCCTTGAAAAATGATGGAACTGCTAGCGCCCTTCTTTCTCCTGCCCACCAATGACTCACACAAGTCCTGCCAAAGAAGTGCTGCCCGCACCAACCCCCGAAAGATGACAGGCCAAGCTCTGCTCAACAGCTAGTCTTGAGAATGGCGGGAACTCGGCACGGCCCTCTTGCCACGGCTGAGGATAGCCCCAAGTCAAACCTCGGATTCCACGTTGAGGAATCTTGAGGCAACCGAACATCCCGCACAGCCGAGCGTTGCAACCGGCACAGAGCTGGGACAAACAAAACGCCCGCCGGCCTTGCCCAGCTCACTTCCGCCGCCCAGGCCGGAAAAACAGCCGCTGAAGCAGCTCATGGCTGGCGGGCTCTGGTGCCGGCGTCAGTCGGCCGGTCGGTTCCTTGCGGCAGTTCTCTGCTCTGACTGGCGCAATGCTTCACGGCTGTTGGCTTCATGCTGGCTCGCAACTTCCGGTCGGGCCAAGGGAGGCGGCGATAAGCAGGGCATAAACAAGCGCGACGCGACAGTTCAAGAAACCCTGTGCATTGCAACAAATAAAACATGTTTCAGGGGACAAGTGCTCAGGGAGCCCCACTGACAAGCAGCTGCAGATATGCAACAAAGGAAAGGACTCCCATCAAGTGACAGTGGATGCAACATTGGCCCATTCAAGTGAGGCCAAATGCCACTAAAACCAGGACGAGCAAACCTGCAACAGACCCTTTTTGGAGTCACCGTGCAAAGCTCATTTCCGGCCAACCGTCAAACTGGCCTTGGCCAGAACTCAAAGCAACCTTACCCTACAGCGGAACATGTCTGTTGAGGATGCTTCAAGTCGGCCATCTTTGGCAGGGCCGCTCAGTTGTACTCCCTCCTTGCCTGTCAGGACCCTCATGACTCTGCAAACAAATTGTTCAAAGTCGAGTGTCTGGCCCTTGTCAAATAGGAAAGCCTGCCCGCTCCGTCCCATTGAGGCGCCGGCTATGTCCATGTTCCACCTTGCAAGTCAAAGGGCCAGGAGCACGGAAGACTTCGGGCAGCAACCATGGAACAGCGGTCACGCAAAGGTTTGGGCGGCTTGGGGGGCCAACGACTGGATGCCATTGCCCTTGAACGGTATCCAAGCTTCGGCAGATGCCTTTGAGGGAGGTTCCTCCTAGTCCGAGAACCACCACTCATCCATGCCTGAGGATAGCCATTGTATCCGGCAAGTGTCTTGGTTTGGGGCTGTGCGGGCCGGTCAGCCTTGACCGGAATCGCAGCCGATTCCATGCGGTCAATAAATCTGCTCTGCCCTGAGGGGGGGAGAGGATCTAAGATCCAAGCTCAAGAGCTCGCGCACCAGGTTGGGCCCTCTGGCGTTGAGGATAACAGCCAGAAGTCCTTGTACGAACCCCTGAACCCCTAGTTGATGGGTGAATCAACCGCTGGCTTGGGAACTAAATCAGCCCCGGATCTCCCAAAATCCGTTCAACATCCCAACCATCCCAATTCCCGACTCGATCCATCCAGATTCTTCGCCCAGGCGCTGGTAGTGTTCCCGCTTCCTGCCAGCGGCTCGAGCGCTCGAGTGGCCCTGACCCTACCATTGGACCCTCACAGGACGCCAGGAATCGGCAGCCTTGCTTGGCTGAGGTTCAAGGCGAACCCTTCCCAAAAAGTGGAAAAAAGGGAGCCACTGGGCAACTGGGTCAGTGGCCAGAGCCTTCGGCTCCGAGCTCCAAATCGGCTCCCTATTCACCAGCTTGAGAGCAAATGGAGAGGCAAGCAAGTCCATCGCCCTTCCAGCTTGCCTTCTGGGAAAGTAGAAACCTTATGGGTAACCGGTGATATAGCTCAATCTATAGCGCCCAAGACCCGCATCGGCGTATTTATGAGCATTGCACGCTCAACTTCGCGCAATAGGACCGAATTGATCAATCTCGAGGAGTTCTTTTGAGGCGTTCGTTTTTGGAACTGGAGCACGGATGGCGCAAACTGCGTCGCAACAAATGTTGCACTAGCAACTGGCCGCCTCTCGTTTATGACTATGACAATGATGGTGCTGATGAACACGACGCTAGTGACAAACCCTCCGCAACCTCTTCCTCCTCCCCCTCCCCTCACTCTTGGCTCCTGCCACGCTGCGTCGTCTCAAAGCGCCAGCACTGAGGGATGGAGTACCACTTCAGAGGGAGAACCGCTGCAATCGCGCCTGGCCGTTTCTAAATGCCCACTGGAACATGCCCACCAGCAAAAGAGCCCAATACAAAAGGGGTCACCGATATACGAATACAAGCCACATTTGTTAGTAGGAACACAAGCCGCATGTAAGCAGTATGTACAAACACATGTTCATGTATATTAACCGGGTAGTGGCAAAAGAAACATCTTCGACACTTTGCCAGAAAAGTACATGTTTTCTGTTCCTTACCGCAATCATTCTGTAATTAAACATGTGTTTTATCTCATCGCCATGGCCTCATCCCTGGGCACTTGGTCGGTACGGCCTGTCTCGGCCCTCATCAGCGACAGCACCATCCGCGCCTCAGTTCTGAGGGCATCGACCTGAAAAAAAAAAACATGTGGGGTGTGTGGCTCAAAAATCGGTTGCTCAAAAAGGGGGGGGTCCAAAATGGAGGTCTGATCAACAGGAAGGTAGACTACAACCTGCGCAAGCCCAGACGTTGAATAGTTGAGCCGTGTGGCGCCTGAAAAAAGTGGGATACCTTCAAAAAGGGCCCTCTACTTTTGGCGCAAACCTTCAAAGCAAAACATGCTCAACTCACAAGTTGAGGTCAACAGTTGCACGCCCAAAGTGCGTGTGCCTGAGCCGCCTCAGAACGGCTCTGGAGGTCTGTTTGGACAGCAAAACATTCTTAGTTCTTGGCCTCTGCGCATTCACAACTCTTTTCTAGCTCCTCCAGTAGAGAGGATAGAATAAGGGTGCCTTTTTTTCTGCAGTCTATTTTAGTGGGGGAACCCTCCCCCAAAAAAGGGGGCTACTGGGGGGCCTAGTTTTCGTGGGCAAATGATCTGCCTGCAGACCCCAGCTTGGCGCTGAAAATTTCGCCAGTTTTCTGAAAACCCTTGGCCGCCCGCCAGGGATGGCGTCATCTCCGGTCGCAGGGTCACGGCAGCACCTGCCGTTAGCGCCGCATGTCGGCCGGGGAGCAGAGAAATCGGCAAACAAATTTGGGAGGGTTTGGATCAGTTTGGATCAGTTTGAATCTTTTTGGATCAGTTTGGACAGGAGTTTGGATCAGTTTTGACAGGTTTGGCAGGGGACCAGCTTGGATCAGTTTGGACAGCTTGGGTTTCCGAATTTCACCCAGACAGTCATATTAGAAAAAGGGTCCCCAAAGTCCATAGATGATCATGCGGCTGGCGTGCCATGAGTTCGCCTCAAACGGGCGAAGCTCTGGTGGTCCGCGGAACGGTGGGAAGAACGAGGCCTGGCAAAATGCCAAACTTTGAGTGAGGCAACCAGTGCTTGTTGAGCTACGCGCTTGTGGCGTCGGACCCTCGCAAAGCCGGCCCCTAAGTCGCTCGAAGTTAACTCGGGGTCAACATTATGGGTGTGTCTCATCAACGGGACACCACCAACTTTACCCGATTTTTGGGTTCCTCTATGTTGATATATCCAACATGTCCAGTCTATATAGGGTCCGTGTGGGATCCGCGGACGAACCTAAACCAACCCTAATCCAGCCAAGTTCAGTGCCACACCCCAAACAGGGGCAGGGGAGGGGCTACAGACCTGGACCTGATCGACCATGTTTTTGTTTATAATAATAATACTAATAAGAATACTAATAATAATAATGTTGTAATAATAATTTTATGTATATTGTATATATACATATAATACACATGGGTCCCTGGGTGTGTCTGAACAGAACTGGCTGTCTTCTTTGTGGTGTCTCTTTAAAAACCACTCCAAAGGGCCCAAAGGGGTCTCCAAAAAGGACCCTTGCATTTTTTATCTGAGTCTGGCATACCTGGGTCTCCATTGAATGAGCATTTCTGGTCAGTTTCAATGGCAGGAGTTAGGTGGCTTGAAAAATAGACCGCGTTTCAAAAGACACGAGAACACACACACACACACACACACATCGCCAAGGAAACAGCATCACCCGCATTCACCCACTCCTTTAGCGCCCTTTGACAAGATTCACGCCATCCCTAGGCCTCCAATGATTCAAGGTTGCGTGTGCAGCAAGTTGGGCTGCATATAGATGATATATTTCTCTTCGGGGAGGCAACAACAGCGCACGCTTCGACGGAGAAAAACAACAAATTGTCAATGCAACCATCACATGCCACATCCCAAATCTGTGTACGTCAATGAGCCATTGATTTCACCTTTCTAGGAAAATTGGATGCGCGTGGCTCACATCCGGGGAACCCCTCCAAAGCCGAGTTTGTTTAATGGAAAACGTGGCAGTCCAAGCAAACCACGATTTCAAACGTGAGTGCGTCCCAGCCAGGGCTTGAAAGTCAGTAGCTTCTTTTGGTTTCTTCCTGCCTAGAAAAGGGGCACCCTCAAGAACAGACATTCTGCTAACCTCTAGAAAGAAGATCTCATATTAACTCCTCACTCCGCCACCAGGCAAGCCCTTGAAGTGAAGGGAATAGACACTGAGAAGCCAGTGAACGAAGGAGGTGGCGGGATGTGGAATGAATGAGATTTCTTATGTTCCTTTTCCTTTCATTTGCTAATACTTCTATCACTTCCTCTCTCCATTACACACTGTCCCTAGACCAGCCACTCATCTCTCTGCTCTTCGTGTCTTAGGGAACAGACAGAGTGTGACCAGAGCGTAGCGGAGAGCCTCATCTTTAGGACTCGTCTTCCTTGGAAATCCTCTAACCATAACATCCGAAAGAAAGAGACCAATAGAAGGAAAAAGGATTTCCAAGAGTTCCATCACATCATATCTCCCTTTCTCTCGTCTGTTCACCCTCAGCTCCAGACGTAGAAAGAAGAAAGGAAGGAATGACTCAATTGGGAGGCCAAGAGCCAGGCCAGAGAGGAAGATGTTGAATGCAGCCAACGGCTAGCCCTTTCTGTACCTCTTCTCTCTTCACTAACCCTATCCCATGTACTCTCGTCTATAGACAAGACAGATAGGGTTAGAATGAAGTAAAGAGAAGAGAGACAGGCTATGCCGTCTATTTCACTCATCTCTACACACCTCGTCCTCGCTGTTAAGCAAGTTCTCGTTAATAAAGCCATGACATCTTCATCTTGGATCCAGCGGATGGCCGCATTCTTCTCTCGGCTGTGTAATATTGGATTGGTAATGAAGCCGAGAATAGAATGGATCCAAGAGATGTCATTCCCACCGCCGGACGGTGTCAGAGGTAGAAGGTAGAGATGGGTAACGAGGAAGCCCAGAGAAAGCTATTAATTTCTGGAATTCAAGGGCTTCCTTCCATCTCATCCTAATCCTTTTTCATCTTCACGTCCTTCGTCTCCCAAAGGCACAGAGGCCGTGTGGTGTGGTTATCTCCTGTCCGTTCTCTATCTTCTGGAAAGTCTTTAATTGCAGCTCACGGACGAGGTACGAGGGAGAGGAATATTGGACAGGAGAACCACAAATAGAGAGTGATGAAGGGAACAGATGTGACCGAGGGAACGGGTCGCTTCATTCTATCTTCCTTCATGTCCACCCTCTCGCCTCTGTGCTTCATGCCTCAGCCAATGGGCGAGGGAAGTGGTGGACAAGGAAGATCCATTCATAGCTCCATTCAAGCCCTAACACACAGCCAATAGACGGCTGAGGGCTTGTTCTTCCTTACCATTCCTTGTCTTCCTTCCCATCTGTCGCCTCTCATCCCGGCCGTTGCCAAGATGAATAGAGGCTAGGGAAGGCAAGGCAAGGGAATGATATGATGAACGAAAGAAGACCTTCCATCCCAAGCCTTCACCAGCCACTAACCGCTGGGGCTTGGATGAGGACATCTTTCACATTCCTTTTCTCCCGTCTGTCTTCTCTTTACCATTCACATCCCCAACTCTTTAATATTAGCTAATAATGGGATGTGAAAGAGAAGACAGATAAAGGAATGTCACTTCCCTAACCTTTCCTCTTTTCTCTTTACCTCCTGCACTCGGTTTCCATGGAAAGGTTAGGATGTAACCGCGAGAAGCGAACTGTGAGAGCGCTCTCGCCCATCATTTCCATCCTTTCATCTCCCTCTTTTCCACCGCCGAGCGGTTAGGGAGATGAGGATGAAGATAATGGGATAACAGGTCCTCCAAATGAAAGATAAATGACCTGAGGACCTGTCTTCCTTCATCCTTGCCTTTCTCCCTCTCTTTCGCTTCTTTCGTCCTTATCCTGTGGTTAGGTCCTGTCTTTCACTGTAGGTACAGCCTGTGAACGAAGAGAACGAATGGCGTGCAATCTCAAATAGAATTATACCTCTCTTTCCAAGTAATAGAATTTCTAGAAGATAAATGATGGTGAAGGAAACCCAACATACCAGGCCTTGCCTTCATGGCTTACCTTCATGCTTTCTTCATACCTTCACTCCCACGACCGGATGGCGTGTGTTGGAAGTTCCTGAACCATAAGAAAGAGATATAGATAGGGAAAGAACAAGAGATGATACCATCCAATCTCCAGAATCCATTATCCTTGAACTCCAGGAACTAGGTAAGGGATATGACAGCGGGAAAGTCCACGAGCTAACATGTGAACGAAGAATAGATCCCTTTTCCTTCCGTCTGTTCTCACTCTATCCCCAACACCCGACAGATGAGGGTGAGGGGTAGAGATGGATAGGAGAGTGTGTCTGTTCGCTTCCAAGCTTTTCTTTATCCCTTCTTTTTACTAATATTTACTTCTTCTTTAGGGACATGATGCCCACGGCTGTTACAACTAGAAATCTTTGAAGTGTGAAATGAAGAGAAAGAAGCAAGGAAAGGAAGGCTTCCAACACAAGAATCTCATCCTAATTCCTAAGCCTTTCCTTGCAGTCACTTTATCCCTAACAGATTAATTCCAGAGAAGACTGGATCTGAGGTAAGATGGAGTGTATTTGAGGGAGAACAGATAAGGCATCATAACTCCATCACAGATCCATTCTCTTAATCCTTCCCCAAATGCCTTTATTAATCTCACCCAATAATCGCGAGCGAAGAGAGGGATGAGATGGTAGGGTGAGAGGCATTTGTTGGGGAAGGAACGTACGCTCTCTTCTATCGCTTCCACAGCCCACGGCTGGCCCTATCTTCCTTGATCACCTCTCCGTCGTAACTCACCTATAGACGAGAGAGGTAAGGAAGAGAGGGATGGAAGTGTAAGGATGAAGATGGCCTATTTCCTGATGAAGAGAAGAGACAAGATACACAAAGCAAAGGCCATCTTCAAGACCAACAAATAGAATTCACTCTCTTCCCTACCTGTTCCCCCTCCATCTCTTGGATGTAGGAGTTAATGGGAACAGATGGTAGGGAATGAGGGAAGAGCCACAGGAAGCCCACGTTCATCTCATCTGGATTCACTTTGTCTTTTCCCTTGCTCTTCCTG